GAACAGGACTACAGGCCAGAGCAGAAGCTTTCAGCAAGTTGAATTTGTATTTATGATGATATTAAATTGCCGCCGAAAAAAAAGCAGAAGAAAGGGCTAAGAGGAGAACTCGTAACCAGGCCAAGATAAATAGGAAAACAAAAACCACTCACAGCTGCGTAAATTGGAGATCTCCCAGTCGTCCTGCGGGGGGAAAACTTTTTCCCAGGACCCGGACGCAATGGCGGTCAACTGGAGACCCAGACAGGACAGCCAAGACACTTAGCAAAAATTTCCTTTTCTCATTTTTTGCGCGACTTATTTTCTTATTCATGTTTACTATTTTATTGTGGCCCCCAAAGGCAAGAGGCGGCCGAAGCGGAAAACTTAGCGTTAAATTACTGCGAACTCTCGGGGGCATAAAACCGAAAATGGAAATTTATGTCCCAATTGCATTTTCAGGCTTCCCCTTGCCCTCACTTCCCCTCCCTCGTTATCTGCCTCTATCGCAGACCACAAAGAAAGTTTGCTCAGGCTGATTATTGGTTTTCCTCCAGTTCAACATTCTGCCTTCTGTGCCATTCCCCTCCATTTCCGCTTTAAATTCGACGCTTCCGTGTTCCCTCCTAATTGTATTAAATTTGCGTTAAAATTGTGAAATTTCCTGAACGCATTAACAGGCCACAAACAGAATCTGGGACTCAATGAAAAATTTACAGGCAAAAAGTACAGGAGAAAATGCTGTAAAACACTTAACTTGATGATTGGTTGTAGGAGGGAGGGGCAGCTCATTAAGCCATGTGGCCATATTAAAAGGTAATTTGATACTTTATTGACTGTGAAAGGTGCGAGGCATACGTTTAATAGAAAACCACTTTAGTATGAATTTCCAGCCAAGTCATTTATCATTCCGGGGACACCTCTAAAGCTTTGGTCGCGACTACCGCGGACACTTGACATCCCAAACTCGGCCTAAAGTTGAAATTCTCAAAAACCAATTTGCAACTGGGCAACAAAATGAGATCAAGCCAAATCAAAGATGAAATCTCCACTGAACTAAAAATGGGAGTGGATCTGAGGCAGAGGAAGAAAGTTAGGCATGCCGGCAAATTGATTGCCGTTGGGAAATCGACAATTTCTGATTAAAATATGTAAATTTCTGGCAGCAAAAATTGAGCACGAGATTCGAGCTTTTCAAAGGGGAATGATTACAGAAACGGCACAAATTCCAATAGCAGTGCACAAATTATGAGAAATCAAGAGACGTGAAATGGAAACCAAGACAACAGCAGCATCCTTTAAGTATACACCGCAATTTCCCCATCTTTTCGAATTGTCCATTTGGTATCGGCCATCTCAATGGCTTGCCTATCATCGAGAACCCATCTATGAGTCCTCCTCTTGTTTTTTCTTTTCATTGGCCTCCGCGGTTTCTTGAGCGGATCAACTCTGTGGCAAAACAAACTGACAAAGCACCCCTTCTCTATTCAGCAAATAAGTCCTGGTCCTTTGCAGGATGCCTCCTTGCTGACAAATGATTCAAGCAAAACCAAAATAAAAGCGTGAAGCCGCAATAAAAACTCGGTTATGGCTGCTAGAAAGGGGAAATATAAAAGAAGGATTGGTTAGCGATTGCAATTGAATTCAAATTCCTTCATCCTACTTCAAAGTCAAGCTGAAACCGAGACGAGGAACTCCAGCGAGGATTGAACTCCATCTCCAGCTCCATCTCCTTCTCCAGTTCCAGTTCCAGCTTCAAGTGAGTTTTATTTTCATTCACATCCTTATTCCTGTTTATCCCGTTAAGCTCGTTTGCCACGGCGCCACTCGAGTGGAGTTTTCCACCTCCTGGCTCCCTTCTTGTGATTTCTGTTCGTTCCATTCAAGTGGTTGCGTGGCACAAGGACATACCCTTCTTGTTGGCTTTAAATATTTTATTGATGTCATTTGGACAATACTCCTCCAGTGCTCACTTGGCTGCCCCAGTTCAGATCTCTTATCCCCACTTCGCTGCCTGAATGTTTTATTGCTGGCTTGTTGATATTTTTATCATTCCTCCACCGACTTTCACTTCGCTTGCCACTTATTTCGCTGTAAGTGTTGTCCTTCGATTGTTATACCCACTCCTATTACTGTGGTTTAAGCGCTGAAATCAAATCAAATTCGATACGCCTCATTTGTGGCAATTACAAGGGATAAAGATTGGTCTAGATAAGGAATTGCTTATTCAAATCTCTGTTGATGGGCCAAGTAGTGGGTTGACCAACAATAAAAATATTTATCTTTTCAATATATTAAAGTCTTGCCCACTATATTAAACCATTTTCCATTTAAGCGACATGCACTGAAGACTATTTCCCTCCCCATTTCTTTGCATTCCACATATTTGAACTTATTTTGTACTTCCTACTTAATAAAAGACCAACAGTATGGCAAGCATGTTTCGCAGAAAACTTTTTTCCACTGGCATATGATGGCCCCATCCTGCCCAAATAGTATGTAGTACGCAAAGAAAAATCTCTGTTGTTAGGCTCGCGAGGCATGCACAAAGACATTTGGGCCCTTTTTGCTTTATTTTATGAGGCAGCCCTAACAATATGCAGTAGCAGTTGCATCCATTTTGTACCAGACTCCGTGGGTTTTTCAAAGTTTTCAACAATGAGTTGCGAATAAAAAGAGCCCACAGCAAAGGCAATGGGTTAATAATGGATTGGAACGCCATTTCCTTAAGCGATTTATGCATTTTCAACACATTTCGGCTTTAGGGTCTCTTTCCCATTTACTTCGAACTTAGTTTACTCCATCTGATCCTTATTTTGTTTGATTGAGTTTGTTAACTTTACATTAATTCGGTGACATCTTTTTACGCCTCTTGCAGAGCATTTCCGGAAATTGGTTTGAATACTTCATTTCAGCAGTTTTCCGGAAAATTATTTATACATCGTTTTTGCCATCATTCTTGGCGAAAAGTTTGTCCAAGCAGATTGCAATTGCGAAGAGCAGAAGAAAAATAACTAGCAAAAAATAGGAAAAATAATTTCCCTTTTATGCAGATGAGTCCCGTTTGCAATGTCCTTTTCTGTAATGAAATTGACATCTTGTGTCGCGATTTCAAGCTGATTTCGTTTTTGTTCCGCTCTGTTATGTTCTCTTAGTATTCCGAATTTCCTCATCAAGCTTTTGGAATTCTCCACAACTCTTAATATCTTTTTCCATTTTCCCTTTCATAGTGTTTCTCAATTCCATTTCCGCATTTGTTTGGCTTTTTTTACCTCAGCGACTAAGCAAATTGTAGGGGAAAAAGTTAAAGCTCTTATTTATTAAGAGAATTACTTCTTAATTGTGCTTTAAAAATAAGTTTTATTGGACCTTTTCGGGATTTCCTACTTATTTACTTACTTATTTAACCAGCTAATAACTATCTACATTTTTCTACTTTTTTTTACTGATAAGTGAGAAATAAATATATCTACAATATCCAACTACAACATCGATATCCTCAGGCGACAATAATTTGTAAACTTCAATAAGCCATTATCATGATCTTCCACATCCGCTGGGATGCCTCATTAACCATGGCAGTCCTGGTTGCGCTTTCAAATGATTAAAAAGCGTAATGAAAAATGCATACTAAAGTTTGGTGCGTTTGTGTCATTGAAATTCAAGTGACACACAGCCATTCCCATCCCGCAATCCCAGATGTTAAGCCCACAGACATCACACGTCCGCATAATAATTAAATTGAATATGGCAATTTTAAGCAACTTCCCTTGTTGTCATACCTTTGCCGGGGGTATTATAATTTTTGTAAGACTTTAAAAAGATATTCAATATAGACACGTCCTTACCTATGCTTAATTTTTATAACTTAAGAGTTTAAGAACTGAAACAATTTTCAATGTTCTTCTATTTATTTTGCTATCAAAACTGTTCGTTGGGCTTTATTGTCGTTAAATTTGTTCAGTCTCGACAAGTGATTGGAAAAAGGGATGTGATGATTTCGTTTGTATAATGCATAATGCATTTAAGAGTATATAAAAGTCGGATTCCAAAACTTTTTCGACCGTTTTTTTTTTTTGTATTCATCGCTGTTATGGTTTTTGTTTTTATTGGAATGGGTATTAAAAATGGATACAATAAAATTGCATAACGAATAAAATGCGGTCAGAGTTCCAGCCACTTGCTAGATCAGAGCATAAAAAACTGCAACAAGGTTAATTGTTTATTAATGTTTTGCAGGGTTTTTTTATTGTTTATTTTTTGTTAATATTAACGTTTGGCGTTGTTTGCGCGCGGCGTTGTTTAATTTGGTTGCTAATTAAGCATTTAACACATCATTCTGGCTTCTTGCTGATGCATTTCTTTTTTATTTCAATTTTCTCACTTTCATCATCCCCTGAATACCATTTCAGTTGATTTTTTGTCTTTTTGGGATTTTTATTTAATTTAATGCCTCAGTTACAACTCATTTTATATGCTTAAATACATGTTACATAAGTGTAGTCCGTGTATGCGTGTGTTTCTTTGTATATACGTAGGTCTATAATTGTATATAATGTTACATATGTATATATCTTTTCAATTGTATCCATAGCTCTGCATTTAATTCAAATATATTTCTCATCATTCAACATGCTTCTCGTTTTATATTTCAATTTGTATTTAAAGCAACACAATTTTATTTTGTATTATTTTAGCTTAAATGTTTAACATTTCGTTTTATCTTACATTATTATTAATCCATTAGTTACATCGTAATTAATTTTTTGGCTTATGATGAACGATATTTATTTTATTGTTTGAACTGTGGTAGAAGCATTTAATGAACTTAATTAAACTGCTATACGATAGCTGAAATTATATAAACGAATGTTAAACAGAGCATGACCTGGTTTTTTGGCAGTTTAGTTCTCAATATTTATTGTAGGAAATATTTAATAATTAATAGGCTGCAACATAGCTATTATTATTTTCTTTTCTTTATATAAAATTATTTCATTTTTTGTTTTCAAAGCTTATATCCACTAAAAGTCGAAATAAATTAAATCGCCGCTTGTTTCCCTGAACTCAAAAAAATAATATATATATATATGTGGTTCGGTATTTTTGGATTACTTAAACAATTTCGATGATCGATATGTGTGGTGTCTTATGTTAAGTTTATTTTGCATTTCAGCTTGCAATCCTTAAGGCATATGCATAATTATATAATTAAGTGTAATCTTATATGCAAGTGTGAGTCAGCAGCGTTTAACGCACGAATATATAGATGTATATGCATATTTATATAGACCGTGGTTTGTTAAGTTGATAACTATGAAACGTTCTCAGTTGAAAGCACAGCATTGAAAGCAAAATGAAATTGCATTTACCCTTTGGTTGGTTTGTCGTACCTCCTAGACATAGATGCGAATGTGAGTGTATATAGACTCCCGTCTAAGGGTTTTGTGATTGATGGCTATACATATGCTGTCCAAGCTGTATATTCACATATACATATTTTGGAATATATATGAGGGAAGGGCGGATCGTAATTAGGGTCTGTTTCACTAGGGACTAGTCGATTACACATATATGTTTTAGTATATACTTTATTCGCTAACATGAAGCCTTACAGCTTATCCCATACTTAGGTGAAATAGGTAACTCTAAGCTAGATTCGCATTAACTAACATAGACTTACGCTAAGGCTAGAACCAACCGCAGTTTGGATTGTTAACAATAGTGTCGAGATGACGACGAACAGCCACGCAATGGCCATCGAAGATTTGTGGCCTCCGTTAGATTCCGCATCCGCCCCGTTGGCATTGCCATTGGCCAACAGCGGATTCTGCGTCTTATCTAGGAAGGATTTTTGTTCAGATAAACCGATTTCGTTCAAATTCGATTGATACCGCGTATCTGAATGGGTGGCCATGAAATGATGGGCATGAAATGAAATAGAGCACAAATAGAAGCCGAAGAAATCGTGTGAGTAGGGACAGATGAATAAGTAGGGTGCTCGGTGGAAGTAGATATTAGGAAGACATCTATTATTAACTCACTTTTATCCTGCGCATAAATGGATCGTGTGGAATCGGAGCCACCATATGCATAGTTGTTGTTGATCCCGTTCTCTCCCCAATGTGAATCGGTGGAGTATAGACCCGATGAGGCAGTAGTTTGAGGATAGGACACTGAAAAGAAGGAATCATTTTCCATATTGATTATTATAGATAATGTATGCATTTTACAAAAACCAAACAGAATTAATTCGAGCTTCAAGAATAGCTGCGTTTTTTTTTAAACATTAGTTGAAACATTGAACCAAATCAAAAGCAAATCCATACGTCAATCCATAATAAGCTTTGCCTTCTGATGTTGTCAAAATATTTACAATGGAGTCTTTAAAAAAGCACAGTTTTATTTGATTGTGGCATTGCACTGTATTGTGTTTTCATTTACTCTGCATTTATTTAAGTCCATATAAATATACGCCACAATAAATATTCTATTTGTGGGAGAATGTTCTTGTTTTCATAAAATTTACATTTTTCAATTTGGCATTTACAGCACGTTTCGATTCATTTTTTTCCGTCATTTATACTTATTTAAATTTTGATGCAGTCTCATTTTACTGATTTTTTGTGTCTCATTCTGAATAATTTTTGCACTTGTCTCTTGTTGGGTATTTCATACGCCTCAGTGGCTTTCGCAAAATGCTAATTATTTTGTATTTTCATAATAATGTGTCAATATGCATATTTATGTGCGCCGCCGGGCACCCAGAAAACTGTCATAATTAAAGCAGGGGGCCTTTTCCGTTTCCCATTTCAATTTGTTGAAATTATAATTTGGATGTTGAAATTTATGCCAGGTCAGTTTGGAAAATCAATGCTGGATATATGTAACCAAATATTTTAAAATGCAATGTGCTTTGGAATGATGCTTTTGTCCCATTCTGATGGACAAAAACCAAAAATTTTAAATTAATTAAAATGTCAACTGAAAAATGCCGTTTGATATAATTTGTAAAACCAATTTTCCCACACCAAAAATGTTAACTTCTTTTGTTCTAAACCTTTCTAAATAAATTGTAATTATTTGTGAACTGAACACTTTTGAATGCCTTATATTGTAGGTTTGCCCGTTAAAGCTTTTATATTGGTTTTGTGGACTATGTTCTCGGTGCAACTTTGAATTCACTGCCAAGAAATTGCAAAACCATTTTCACAATCGATAACTTAAAAACGTTCTCAATGGTAGCGAATCCATCACGTAATTAAACTAAATACGTGATATTAACTTGCTACCAATCTTGTGGCACATACATGCACATGCACATTAAGTTTAAAGCCAAGTTTCGCCATTGGATCACATGAGGCTGAGGGAGCCTGCAGAAGGAAAGTTCGCCGGCTAAGCCAGAGCAGCCTGGCCAAAAATTCCACACCTTGGTGAAGGGACGTGACTTGATTTTTCACTGGCTTGATTATTATGGCCGCTCAACGAGCTCGTCCTTCCCCGTTTTTTGGGGCGGCTATTCCGGTTCATTCGGGCCAAGAGAGTGAGTTCTGCCTCGTAGACAGGCAATTAAGTCAGACCACGGATGTGGCCGAGGTTCTTTCTCGCCCCTTTCACTTTGGCCTTTCATTTGGCTTTCTCCCTGGCACGGACAAACATCTAAATGGCTTAGATTTGTCAATTTGTGTTAAGGCCAATGCGGTAGTTTTTCAATGCCTCGAGTCCTTTATTAGACCCGCCGGACATGGAGAGCTTAATTAGTTGGGATTGAACTGGCGAGCGAAGAACTTAAAGAAAGCAATGGCCACCAACTTGTCTGAATTGAATTCAGTATATTTACTTTGCTTTTAAACTTACCATACAAGCGTATAATGCCGTCCGTTTCGCCTCTGGGATTTTTGGCCACACATTTGTAAATGCCATCATCTCCACTGCTCACATTTATGATGGTCAACTTCATATGGGTTTTATAAGCTGGCAATCCGATTGTAGCTTCAACTCTGCAAGTAAGGAGGTTTAAGAGGAAACACTTTTAAAAAAAGGAATTTAATTATATTTGTTTACCCTGCAGAGGGTATGAAGTGCGCAACTTAGTTAGGGATATATTCTGGACACTAAAAAGTATATGTATTCTTGACCAGCATCACCAAAAGAGTCAGTAGTGTCCGTTTCAGTTTAAGAGCTATCTGTATAAAGTTTTTCAAAAAGTCTTATAAATAAAAATATAGCTCAATCTACTTAGAGATTGTAATGGCTTACTATTCCAAAATTAGAGTTAAAATATTATTAACATTGTACAACGATATCATATAGCTAATATAGGAAACTTTGAAAAGCTCAACGGAAAATCGAAATAGTTTTATACTCATAGTAGTAGGTTTTTATAATATTTTACTCTTGTAATAGCTGCAAGGTATATCAAATTAGGGTTGCCGAAGTTTGCTTTCTATCTTCAATCACTTACTTTATAAATATATATGGTTTCGGTACTCACTTGTACTTGTGCGAATCGTGAATGATTGGTCCCTCGCCACGTGTCCAATAGTTCAGCGATGTGGGATGTGCCTCAGTGAAGCATTCGATGGTAACGTTGGAATATTCTGGAGCACCAACCAATTGATGGGGAATAAGCAGCATTGGTGGAACTGAATGTAAGACAATTCATGCAAATAAGTTTTCAAATATTTTCATACACTTATTAGTTGTTTAGCACGAAAAACCCTTCCTAAATGACTATTAAATCATTTTACATTTCAGTTGTAAAATTGCAGCTCACTCACTTCTGTAATCAAAAAAGTTCAACTCAGCAAATGCATAAACTCAACTAGGAAGCAAACTTGTGGTCAAGTTCTCTATAATTCATTTGACAACTTTGGAAGTTATTTTATCCATTTTTTATTGACAAACAACAAAGTTTCAAGAGCAAAGTGTATATGCATATATTTCATATAGATTTTTTCCTGCTGTTTTTGGGTGTATGCAAATGCGCTCTTTTAGTTTTGATTTAAGCAGGCATTTTCTCCCCAGACTGATTTTCATTTAAATTGCAAGTCAAGACGAGTCACCAGGAGAAAGTTCTTGAGCCTCGAACAGAACGAAAAAAAAAGAAACTATTTCCTTGCAACGAAATCTTATGAATAGCATTATTCGGGATTTTTTCCATCTTGAGTTGACTGCCAGCCTGCACCGCTTTCACCGCCTGCACCTTTGTAATTATGTGCGAGGACATCTATGGAAATCCAACCTTTGGCACCTCAAAAAAAAAAAAAAACAAATATAAAAAATTTCCGCACTTCAGGCGCATTTGGCGCACACTTTTTTAATTAAGATATTAAATGGGGAAATGTCGCAGAGAGCGGGACTAATGAACACTCGAGCACTACGTTTCGCCTATAGTTATTGTCAGCATCCGAGTGTCATCAGCATCTTCATCATCATTAAGGGGCACAATGGATATTCTTCGGTGCTTTTTTCCGCCTTGTCATTTGTCTGCCTGTTTTACCTTTTGTTGATTTATGTCCACCAAGAGTTGGCAATTAAGCTGAAGGCTAACAAAAAATGGCACGGAAAAGCAGTCCTGCTGATGGTCCAATTGAATTTTTAATCAGCTCGGACACAAATTAGCGCCCCGGCTTTTCCCCGCTCGGCTTTGTACGCTTATGAAAAGTATCTCGTGGCTCTTTTGTATTTTTGATGAGGTGCTCGCTCGGTGGCACCATCAGGGCTGGGTATAATCCTTTTAATCAAAACAAGCTTAAGTGTGACGAAGTAAGCGGCTTAATTAGCCTGTCAACGAGTTGGGTCAAGTGGGTTAGTTGGTACTGCTCACCAATTATACGCCCGGCTGAGGAGATACAAAAACCAATTTTCTTTCACTGCTTTCTGATTTGCCAATTTACCAATAACATTTTGATTGGCAGATTCTTTAACATAAACACGATGATTTTTCTTTGATTTTTATGGTATATAGAATATGGGGGAAATACACAGACGGCCCGAACAATTTGTTAAAACAACTGTGACAGCTTGCATATGTCCTTATGTCCTCATGTCCTTTGGCTAGGACACACATACATCTACACACACTACGTTTATTTTTGTGGCGTGCGTTGCTTAGCAAGCAGGAAGCAACAAATTCAGTTTCTGTTTCCGGCTGCGAAGAGAAGCGGTTCCTATGCCATACGTATTTCTGACTGCATACTGATTTGTTGCCTTTGTGTGCAACCGAAACCGGAGCAGAAATGGCCAAAGTTCGCCTCTTGCCGGCAAGAGGACAACATATGCTGCAAACGACCCTTAACCTGCGCCACTCCAAAGGAAAAGCGTCCAAGGCAAAAAGCAAAGGCGAAACATTTTCCTTGCTAATTTCGTATGCAGTACAGATATTCTATATTGATATAATTTCTGTTTCTGTTCATTTTTCCCCAGACAACTTTTGAGCGGAGCTCTTAAGCGAAAGTCAAGCAGAAATCACCTTGAAGTTGTCGCCGTCGTTTCCTTTATTTCCATTCATTTTAATTGCCCACACAAAAACGAGGGAGTCGAGTGAAAAGCGCAGGACTCGAGTGCCGAGACTGGACTGGACGGGGAAGGACAAACATTTGTCCGGGATAACAGCTTCCTCCACTCCTTTCACTCGGGCACTGATTTAAATTACAATTGAGTGGCGACAATATTGGCGAAAGGAAAGGCAAGTCGGGCAAGTACTGGCGCAGGGAAGTAGCGAGTCAAGCAGCTGTTAAGTGCCACAAGGACTCGCGTTGAGTCAACAATAATTTAGCACGGTGGGTGGGTTGCTTGGCCCGGACATTGAGTGACATTCTTTTCTTTCCGCCCGGCTCCATTGAAAATGGCAAGAAAAAAGGTAAGCTGACTGCTAGTGTAAACAACTTGAAAATTAGCCGTTAATGAAGCCTCGTTAAGGGGTTGCAAGATGGCCGATGGCCGACGGCCGAGAGGATTACTGTTCAAGCAGCATCATTGTTGAACAGTTGCGGACCATTGATTGCCCTGCCGGGGCAAAATGCAGGGACAATATTTGTGGAATTAGTGTGGCTCGAAATGGGAATGATGGGATCGACTTGATTGCCAGACTAAAAGTTGCGTCTGGCTGGGCAATCATCGATTGTAAGGGCTATCGGAGGATTGAAAATGGTTATGTGTGTGGATGGGAAGTGGCTGTTAATATAAAAAACCCAACTACATGCTTTAAAGCCTTTAATGGTTATTTGAGATAATACAAAATTATTGAAGTTCTTTAAAAGGAAATTTGTTCAGGAAATAAAATATTATGATCTTAATTGGATATCAATATCCCCTTATTAAGAATAAAATATTAATCAATGAATTTTTACTACACACAAATAAATAATAATTTATTTCATCGCAGTCCATTTTTTAAATAAAAAATAAATATTAACATAAGTTTACATTAATATTACCGCCAAAATAAGTTCCGCTTGAAAAATATTAAAACTATTTGTTTACATTTAATAACATAATAAATTTTTTCTCTAGTTTTATTTGTACTTTAAGCCCAACACCAATTTCACCAATGTTGTCCTTTAGATACACCAATTTTTTTTTTGTCTAGGGGATTCGCACACACACATTGAACAATAGAGTGTATTTTTTTATGGAGGACATCTGCGGCAATCAAGGTATTTTCGGCTCTTCTATTTGTAGTTTGCCAATTTTTTTGCGACCCCTTGCACAACCGTAATTTGTATTGCACTTTTTGCTGGCCAGAGGTTAGCCACTGCCGACTGTTAACGGAAACTGGAACTGGTTTCTGCCCAGTTTGGCTTACTATTGCCACGAGGGGATTGCAACCACTGTTCGACGGCGGATTGTTTGGTTAAAGCACCGAATGTCGTGTACAAAACAAAAATAGATTTATGCTTGCGGCATTTTTAAGTGACAGCAAACGAGCAAATTTCTGTGACGACCTAGACCACGACTACGACCACGCCCACTGAAAGCCGCCCACCTCCCCGGGAATGACAGGACTTGACAGCACATGTGATGTGTCTGTCGGCTGTAATAAATCTTAAAAAGTGCACAACGGCAAACGCAGTGATTTGATTCCGTCTTTTATTTTTTTGTCCAGCTACCCGCTCTACTATAAGCCACAAACTGCAGCAGCTACAAGTGTGTTGCCTGCCGATTAAAAAAAACCGTAACCATGGGCCTCTTTGTGGGGTTTTTGCGGGACTTCAGACTCAGACATGTGAGGCAGCTTTAAGGAATGAGAAAATTATGCTTTGCGACATTTTGTTAAGTATTAATATGCTTTACAAATGGTTAAGAATGAACAACATTTTAGAAATTAGACAACAATAATTTAAAAATTCTACAAAATGGATAATTTCCCTAGCTTTCTTTTATTAATATTAAATAACAGAAAGAAAATAAGTTTAAAGGCCAACAAACATTTTTGACACTGTTTTTAAAAGTTATTACAACATTAATATTGTTATTACCGTAATCAATTTCTTAAAATTTTTTTAACCCAACTGGGGCTCTTCATTAAGAACATTTGACATCAACAAAACTTGCCATTTTTAAAACTACTGGTTTAACGGTACCAAACATAAAACAAAATTTGTAATATAATTATTTTTTAAGATGACTAAAAAAAAGAATTTTTAAATACAAATTAAGAATTTACTTTTTTTAAGAATTTTCTTTCTTTTTTAAAATGTTAAATGTTTATATAAACAAAAAACCAATTTGATTTCATACACTTGCCATATAAATGGTCCAACCAAACATTTTTAGACCAAGTTTATAACATAATATATCGTATATTGTTTCAAAGAAATTATTTAACCTCAACCTGGAATTTTCTAAAGACTTTCAACGAAAAAAAAAAGGCGGTTGAATAAGGTTTGACCTTAATTAAACAGCTCCTCAGCCGTCTAAGTGAATTAAATATTTTCTTATAGCTAAACTGGACCTATGTGATCCTTATTCATTCTGCTCCATAGTAGTTTTCATCAGTCTCTGACAATTTTCCTGGATGTTCGACTTTAATCCGCTGCCGACAAATGGAAATATGAGCGGCAGCGAATCACGAAGTGTACAGGAAAAAACTCAACAATTTCAACAGCCAAACAACAATATTCCCAGTACGCACGTAACAAAAATAAATTGAAAGCCGGAACGGAAAAATAGAGACTATGAACAGAAATAACAACGTTTGTATTTAGATTTAAGTCGACTTTCGTGGACACGTTATGGAATAGCTAACCAAACTGTTAACTATATAACTATACACGTTCACAGTTTCTAGGGGTCCCTTAATCAGTGTCCTATCACCAAAACCAAAAACACTCCCATCTGGGGTACTTACAGTCCACGCTGACTTTGATGCGCTTGGAAACCGTGGGGGGGACCCCATTGGAGGCGATGCACAGATAGGCGCCCATGTCCAGCCGGGAAATGCGAGTGATCTCGAGGGTGTCGCCCTCCCATTCGTTCACTGAAAACGGGGGGAAAATGGAATGGAAAATGACAGGGGACAGTGCTAAATGATTGATGCACTGCATCCGCGCTTACCTATGTGATTCTTATTGATGGCTATGCGGGAGTTATCATCGCGTTTCCATTTAATAATGGGTCTGGGACTGCCGCTCGCCCGACACCTCAGCGAAATGTTGGCGCCCTCTCGCACAATCACATCGCTGGAGCTCAACGAGTCATCAATGTTGGGCGGAACTGCGGGGTGAAAATCAGTGAAAATCGGGGAATAACGAATAATCTGCAATATCCGCTAAACTGTTGCGCACCGGTAATCCTCTTAAATAGATGCAGTCAGCGCCCATTTAAAATTGAACTCTGCCCTCGTATTTATGCATGATAAATATTTGCGAATAAACATGACAAACTCTAGTTTAGCATCAGGAAATTGCTTTTAATATGAACCCCGCTGTCGCACAGCAATTATTTTCCCATTTCTCATTATTCGTTTAAATAGAAAAGCATTTATTGGTCATTCGCCAGAAACATGTGCTCAATTTTTGTATTCGAATGTATTCGGGTAACCTGGTTTATTCAATTTTATTGCAAATAAAAACTGTCACTTATTTTTAAGCTAACATAATTATCAGGGATTGGCTTTCCGTTTCGGAAGCTTTTAATTTTAAATTTCACTAGAAACCATTTTAATGTAACTATGTTTACGTTTTTTCCATTTTTAAAGTTGTGTCTGATATCTTTTATTGTCTGCATATAATTTCGTTTCTGTTTCTCACATTTTTTAATTAAAAGCACGCGCATTCGCTCCCTGCTCCACAAATATCGCATGCATTTTTAATAATTTGTTTGTTGTTTGCCCAGGCAGGGAAAATAATTTTGCCTGGGCAAAGGATTCACTGAACTGTGCTCCGTTCCGGGTACTGGCCTGCGTCCTCGTCCTGATTCCTGGATTCGGTTCTGGACCGGCTTTCTGTTTTGCTTTTGCTTTTGTTTTCGCCATGTTTGCACCACGCTTTAAGGCACATAAATTATTTTTTAATACGCGGCGTATTTGCACAGGATTTTTGGGAGCACCAACAAAATCCCCGAGGTACTCCGCTTTGCCGCTTTGATTAGTTTCCCCACAACTTACCCACAACGTTCAGGTAGCCAAACTGCGTTTTGGCCGTCACCGTATTGATCTGGCACATATACCGACCCCTGTCCTCCTCGTGCACGTTGTTTATATGCAAATACCACGTGCGATGCCGGTCGTGCTTGTCGTGCGTGACACTGATGCGCGGATTGCGCGTGATCACATGATTGTGAACGGTCAGGATGGCGGACTGCTCAAAGTGCATCCAGGCAACCTAAAAGATAAATCGAAAACCACATTGTGATACATTCCTTACAAACTATCGTTAAACTAAACTAACTATAAGATAAAGCAAATTAAAAAAAAAAAAAACTTAAATTAAAATTATTAAAAAAACAAAAACAGGAAGAAACCTCGGATAGTCATCGAAACATCTACATTTTTATATAATTTGAATATGTATAAAACAATAAAACCCTTGATAATTTTCAGATCAATTATTCGGTCGTTTCTAGAAAAGCTATAATATAGTTTTCCGATTTGAATAAAATTTTAAGCGTAGATCTTAATTATTAAACTATGTCCTAAGGAATTAAAAATAAATTGATAATTAGAGAAGTTACATTATTTTTTTTTAAATATTCCTATTGTTCTCATGGAAGCTAAATGATAAAGTCGGCCGGTTTTAAAAAAAAATTTTATCCGTAGTTGTAAAATAATAAACCATTACTGTATATCGAAGAACAAAACAAAAATAGTTAAAAACAACAAAGTTATAACTTTCTTCGGAGCTACGTGATATAGTAGTTCGATCCGGGAAGACAACTGAGAGACTACTTTGCGTTGCTAACTTCTGACTGAAATTATAATAGCCACTCCAAGGGTTTAAAAATGGGAAAAATAATTTGTAATCATTGCTTTGCTTAAAGTAATATTTAATTACTCAAAAGTTTTTGTGTAAAAAAAAGAAAAAAATGTAATTTAATTAAAACCCGAACCAAGTATAGAATACTAAAAATAAAAGCTTAACTCTTAGTCTAATTTTCGGTTGAACCCTTTAACCACTACCACTACTGGTGCTTAAAAAAGCGAGAACTTTTTAATAACATCCTAACGTCTCTTTTTTTTGCGTTCTGTCACTACACACACGTAGTATATGGAACATCCAGCAATTTCACAGCTCAGCATCGGCAGTCGAAATGGGGGAGAAAAAGGGAAAAGAACGGGCGGGAAATGGAAATGGCAGGGGGCGGAAGCGAGAAAATTGCATCATAGTGTCGCATATAAAAATAAACGCAACCGGTTACAAGTTCCTGCATGTTCTGAAAGGGAAAAGCAGAGAGTCCTGTGTGTGTGGTGATAGCTATGAATTACATGCAGCCAATATATGTAAGGCGAAGCCTTACTCACAGACGCCCAGTTACTTAAACATGCCATTCGACTAAAGCCAAGTCGGGTCTCTCGTTTCTCTGGCAGGAGTTTGCCAAGGGCTTTTCCATTTACTTGCATGCACTGCACGTTCTTCTTTTTGCTGCACACATTTTTTTGTTGCTCTCATTTACACCTCAATTTGATTCTATTTCCTGCGTTCCGACATACCGTTGGATGGGTTTTCGGAGCCAGCACGCTAACAAGGCCGGCGATGGTGATGGTGATGGCTACTTGAGCTGGGAATCCAGCACTTTGAGTGTCCCCTAATGATGGCCAAAGTCAGTGCAAGTAAACCGCTTCCGCCATTCATGGTAATGATCTGTTTAAGACCCGTCAAAAGCATTCGGATAGCCTCAATAGCGAATGGCCGAGTTGGTGATGTTGGGGATGTGGAGATTGCAGTCTGCATTCAATGAAAATTAATTAGCGGGCTCATCCCACCTCATTTGCTATGCACTCCCAGTCTAATCTTTTAAGACATGGTTTTTATGCTAAGTAATCAAATCATTAGCACTCATTACAAGCTGCTTAATTAATAAATCATTTCACGTCCCTTGTACAACCCCATTTATCGTGGCCCCGTCGCTTTTCTTGCTCTGTTTGGACTTCTTTTCACCGCCAAAAGGGAACGGCTAATGATGCATAAAAACTAAGCGAAACGATGTCAGCACTTTTCAGGAAAGTCTCACTCCGGTTTTAAATGGATTTAGCCAATTGTAAAAATTATATTTGTAGTGATTTAAGTGCGGGATTTTACGTATTTAATCGTAAATGCTAAGTGGTAAAGGTTTGTTGAATTTGTTGCAACAGACAAATGAAGACAATGATAAATAAATGAGATTTATAAATTTATATTAATTTCTACTAAAAATACATTTATATTTTTGATTAAATTACGTACCATAGTTCTTACATTATCGTTATAACTAAAGCGAATTTTTATGCATTATATTTAAACCAAGTTTCGTTTAGAAACTTATGCCACCACTTATAAAATAAGAAACCGGAAAAGAAAACTTCTTCTCACCTTATATGAGCCCAGATTTTTAACGGAGCAACCAAGTTTAACATTACGTCCAGCAGGTACAGTTACATTTTCGATGTATTCAGTAAATTCGGGTTCTTCGACGACAACTGCAAAACACATAATGTATTAAAAAAGATAGTTAAAAATGAATTTATTTTCATTAAGTGCATAAAATATTTATTCAATTTTATTTCTATTTGTCTTAGTTCTATGTCAATATGCCGCTCATGAATTTGCATAATCAAATAAACCATAAAAATCAATTATGCGCGGAAAATTAATTGTAAAAATGTTTTCGGATTTGGCTGCGGGCGAAAAGGCGTCGGCGGCGGCGGCAGTGGTTCGAAATATGGATTTCGGGGATGCAAAATAATTATATCATTGATTTTTGCGTTGACTCATTATTCCGACTGCTGTACGGGTATTTTCCGGGAATGCACAATTATAATTAAACACATGTTCGAACGCACATATTTGCTTCAAACATCAACAAGTTAAACTCTTTTTTGCAACACTCGATGCGGAAATTTTCATTCGCGGCTGCAGCCAGCTGCAATCATTAAACTTTTAATGACCGTGCAACAAATTTGCCGAAATGCATTTAATTGTGCTACGAAAGCAACTGGGAATGTTCCTAGCAGCATTTCCTTTATTATTCAGACAAATATTGAAACTCCACAGGCGACAAGACCACAAAAGAGGAGGAGACTTAGCTTCATTCATTTAGCTGCTAATTTAGTTGAGCTAAGCAAATATTTAACATAGAAATTCAATTTTTGTTTGCTTTGAGCATGATAGCCTAACGAAATAGCTTTGGCAATTCAATTAAACTGTTTGAGTTGCAATTATTTAATCGCATTCCTGAAAAGGCAACAATTATGCATAACAAATCACACAATTTTAATGAAGTGTGCGGCTTAGAAGGACTCTAAAAGTCTTTCGAATGTGTTTCGATTTAAAGTGATTTCAGCTGATTTTTTGAATTCATTTATTGAAATAATTTTCTATTTAAAATAAGTCCTTTTTAATAACATTAAACCGTGTTAAAAAGGTTTATATTAGCGCATTTAATGAAGGTATTCAAATTGAAATACTTATTGTGACTTTTTGCTGATTTATAAATTGACAAAAGTTCGGATTATAATTAAAATGTATATTTGCGCAAATTTCATTTGGGAACCTAATTTCACGGCCCAGAAATGATATCGAACTATTGCTTTAGCTTAATTAGCTATTTATGATGGCCGTTGTGCCTGCCAGTCAAATGTACATATGCACAATATAAACTCAAACACAAACAGCAGCCCATATAGAGTTACACATTTGCCGAATCGAAATGTGCACAAGTCAATTGAATTTGGTTGACTTCGCGAGGCCATGGCGATATAAACAATATGCCCACCTCTCCGCCATTTTGGCCGCACCCTTAAAGCCCAACTAATTATGAATCAATAACACAAGAGTTGCATAAATTAGTGAAAAGTTTCTTGCACAAAAAAAATTATTGACAGATTTCGATAATGACATTAAAATACGGTTGTTTAAAGTTATATATTTTATTGTTTTTATCGGACAAAAAATAAATCCAGCTCACTTAAAAAAATGTATACCCAGTTTTATATTGAATAATGTAAAGATATATAATCAAGGAAAGTTGTTTAAAGGTCAGGCCTCGTATAAAACAGTATGTAACTTCAACTGTCAGTACCATGATAAACAAAATATAGTTTTCTTTTTCTGAGTGACTATCTCTTGAAGAGACAAAAAATAGATGCAAAGGGCAGCACTGTGAGCCCCTTGTTGCAAGTCTAGCGTGCAACGTTTACGCAATGGCACCAACGGCGGGGAAAATAGTCTGCATAATCATGGGATTTCATCCAGCTGCAATTTTCGCGCCAGAGCGCGTGTCTGCATATAAATTTTGTTGGGGTCTCAGCCGTCCGCCCACGCCCACACGACCACGCCCTAAAACAGTGACAACAAACAATCAAATGAGAAGTCTGATAGAGATGCCAGTTTTCAAGGAATGGGATATAATTAAATCCCTTACTATATGATAAAAAAAAATACTTTCTGTTGCTAACTTTTACTTAAGGCATTGCATTTTCAGGAAAAGTAATTCAATCAATTTTTAAGACTACATTGATATTAAGGCCTTTAATTTTTATTAAATTTATTTTAGCAAATAACTAGACAATATTAAAATGAGGACCAGCTATATGCAGCCATTGGTTTTTGACTTGCCAATTAACTTAATTTTTGTAGCGATCAGCTAACGAATTCTTTATGCAATTTATAAGCTAGAGTATAATTTTGTTGCTAATATTTGGTTTTTTCTTTATGCTTAAGTCAGTAGGCCGCTTAATGCTTGCCATTTCAAATCATGCAATTTCATTTTGTGAAGAAAGATTTAATATATGTCAGTGTTTTACTACAATTTAAAGTAAAATGTTTAAGAAATTGAAAATTTCTCCGTATAGAAGCAACAAATATATTCATAAATTACTATTCATTTTATTTCTGCAACCAAGCATCTTAATATTACCATGAATGTCTTCAACTAAATATTCAACACTTAATTGAAGTTGATATTGCATTTTTGCCTGCATAGTCAAGGTGCTCGACTCATGAATAAATTCGCAGCAATGCAAAAACACGTTGGTTATGATATTGGCCATCGGCAGTTGAGACGACGAAGTGAGAGGATGTCGATGTCAATGGCGATGACGACGAGGATGATGATGCGGTGAATGTCGCCTGTTGCGACATAAATTGCGCTGCCTGAATGAATTTTGTGCACAGTTAAACTGCATTATTGCTGTTGCTGGTCCTGTTTCCCCCTGCTTTTGTTGCCACTGCACCTGAGAACAATGACAGCCGGCATTCGCAGGAGTTGTGTGACGGATCGGAGTTGGAGGCGTGTTAGCCCCGCGGCTATGTCACCATTCTGGATTTATTCTTCCCCTTCACACATTTCACATGTGCACACTCAGAACTTTTTTTCTTCGGATCGAAATCTCGTCTGTTATTGTAACATTTAAATTTCTCTTATGAAACAATCTATGCTTTTGGCATTTTTTGAACTTGGGAAAATACTTTTAAAGTACTTTTTTTATCTATTTAATTTGGGACAGAAATTTCGGAAATATACGTATATACATATACATATTTCCTTACAACTACATTTTAGAACTACATTTTAAAAAGATTTATAAAATTTAGAAGTTACATGTTTTTATTTATTTATTTTTACAATTGGGTTTTTTCCATGGGAGCTAAACACTGCGTTGCAAACTTCTGATTGAAATTATAATAAATCATAAACACCAATATTCAAAAGCTATTTTATAGTTTTCAAATTAGGGGTTGTGGTAAGCACTCTGCTATGTAATGCATAGTTCTGAAATTTTTTTTTAAATTGATTTATACATTTGATCAAACTATTTCTTGAATCTTAAAAATATAAAAGATGTTTTTTTTCCAAATTAAGTTTATCCTAACCTTATATTAGTGATAAATTTGTTTGCATGTGCATGATAAGGGGATATCTGCGAAATTGCCACCTAAGCCATGATGGCTTTCAATTTTTGCCGTAAAGCCTTGTATCACCTTTTGCCCTGGGGCTCCCTATTGCCAGTATCACTGGCTCTTCAATCTGTGGGTGTATTGGAGACCCTTTCCCCCGCTTGTCTGTGCAAATATGATTCGCTGCGGGGGCGTTGGTCGCCCACGTGGCATCAGAGTGTTATTGATGGCATCAGGCAGCGGGAGTCGGAAAGCAGCCAAAAGGCAATCGCGGATAAAGATAAAGTGCGATTGCAGTATTTACACTGCACTACAAAATTGCCAGTCAAGGGACAAGTTACATGGTGAAAATATTAGTAAACATTAAAAATTTCTCAGACGTTGGACAAAAAATGAATACAAGTTACAAACAAATTCAATTTGTTTAAGCAAAGAAAAACCTTTAAAAAATCATCGAAAATATACCATTTTTTAAAATAGAAAATCATTTTTTTATTTGCATGAATGCTGCTATGCTAATGCACAATTTTTAGCCCACCATTTTTGTTTGACTAATTGCCAAAATCTATTTATTTTAATTGCAATTTAAGTATAAATATATAAATTGGAAAATGTTTTATAGCAGCCGTATAAATCTAGTTACAGAATAAATGTTTTTAATTTTTTAACAAATACAACTCTTTAAGCGTTACCTAATAAGGTGAGGGATTAAAAATGTAACAATAAAGGGCCAGCAATGAACTAAATAATCAGAAAATAGTGGATAATGGAAAACAAAACCTATTTAGAAGGGTAAATATTTAGAATAAGAACTTATTGAATTTCCTGCGTATCACGGTATAACTAAATATACTAAGTACGAATTTTGATTTATGTAACTAATGAAATTAAATAAAAATAAAGAGCTAGCAAGATGATTTTCCTGATGACCAGATTAAGTTTGACCTTTATCGGCAATGCATTTTATAGGCAGGAAAATAAAAAAGGGGGAAAACTCAATTGTGTAGTAAACAGATTGATTACAAAAGCTCTGTACCACAGTGTAAAATGACTTGAGTTTAATATTCATTTAGATATGTCATGCCAGATACTCACTGTTTAAATTCGAGGTCGGCACATTGGCCCCGCCTCCGGCCACAATCACGCCATTGCTCCCGACCACCGTGCTGCCGGTTCCGCCGCTGCCAGCCACAGCTCCTCCTCCGCCTCCGGCTCCTCCTGCTCCAGCGACGAGACTTGGAACCGCTCCAACTGCCACTGTCTTGGAGCCGGACGGATGTTTGCCCGAGGCGATTCCGATGCCCCCGACGCCGCCGCCGTTGAGAATCTGCGGCAAGATGATCTTGTTGGTGGAGTCCCCCGCTGTTGCCGCGAGCACGAGGAGGGCCCCAATTAGATGCCAGGACGGGGGCAACATCAACTTGCCGTTGCGGTCGACTCAGCCACAGCCAGGAGCCCCAATGATGGCCTCGCCTCCTGGCCAAAGTGCATCCTCTCGGATCTACTGGCTCAGTTTTTACCACCGCTCCGCCACTCTAGTTTTTTGCACGCCGCGGGGTTTGTTTGTGTTTTTACTTTTGTTCGGGAGTCTTTCACACGGTTTTGCTATCGCAGTTTTTGGCTCGTGGCAATTATCAGATTTTAGACTTTGTTTACTTTATACATTTCCTTGGGCACTCACTTAATATGTATTGTGGTTTAAGCAAAGCCAATCTGGTGAAACCATTTTATAAGGATCTGGTGAAACTGGAGTGCAGAATTTTTAAAATGAATTCTAAATGGTATTTAGCCTGAATATAGCATATTTTTAAACTCGATATTAAATATAAATTTATTCTTGTAAGTTGCAAGCTTTAAATTATCTAATCAAGGCTTATAAAATCTATTTAATTAGACTGTATTCTCATTACTTTTTTAATTGAATCAACTTATCGTATAAGTTATAACTGAATTTTTATAAATTATTTTAATTGCAAAGAACTTTTACCTGATAAGAAGAATCGTTAAGTCCTTTTAACATTTTTTTGAAATGACTTAAAGAATATGATTTTAAAATTAAGGAACAAGTTTCAATTTCGCAATAAGAAAAACGAGAAATATATCTACTACTATTTGTTTCTTAAAGACTTTGTCTAGTTATTTCAAACTCTCCCGTTTTTCAATTTGGACTCTTTTCTAGTGATACATATTCCATTTGCCATGAGCAAAAGGAATGGGAAAAACTGCCTTAATTCTGGATTTTTCCATTTGACTTTAGAACCCATAAATTTGCCTTCAATGCACTGGATTCCCACTTTCCTGTTCCCTGCCCAATTGTTTGCTGTCTAGTAACTTTCAACGCATGCACACAGATGGCATGCAGATTTTCTGGGGAATTCAATAAAGTTTGGCAAAATATTATGCCATAGACCCGCATGTTAGCTGCCTGCCACGCCCCCTTTGCGTAGGCGGTTCGCACGTGTTGCAGCAAAGTTTAAGCCACCAAAAAGGAAAGAAAACCAACGGAATTTTCCAAAAGTCATAAAGATTTGCCTCAGAACAAGGAATTCGAACAGCCCCTGGCGGGTAGTTGATAAAATTAAAACTCGGGAAAGGCCTAACCGGAACTCATAGAAAAATGCATTCGTTATCTTTGAAAGTAAAGGTACTAGAGACTGCGAACTTTATGAAAAGTTGGCAAAATAAAAGTTTCTATTCCACATGTGCAGACAGCCAAGTTTATGCCAATTAATTTAAATGCTCTTTTCATTTGTTGTTTATCTTAAGTTTTGGTTTTTTGGCTTGCTTCTTACTTCTTTGACTTCATTTTATACTTTTACAACTTTATTTCTGTCAATGTTGTAATATCTTAAGTTTCTCTAACAAGAAAGTACGTCCTATGATTGGCTTACAGTGCGTTTCGCCCATAAATTTACTTCAGATTGTGCTCGTTTAAAATATGCTCATAGAAAACACGGTCTATTATTTTATATAAAGCTTACAAACTTAAAATTATTATCTTTAACTTAGCATAATGATATATAACGCAAAAATACAATTTATTTTATTAGTCTGTTTCCAGCTGCCTTGTGCGTTATAGTTGTGTCACGCACTGCCCTTACTCTGTTTCGTTGCTGTTTCTTGGCCATCTGATCCAAAACTTTCTCTTCAAAAATGTTATATTTTTTATGGCTTTTAAGCGTGTCGCCTTCAGCTTTTTGTGGGGTCCACACGCAGCTTGGCAAACACTTACTCAGACAGAGCTCCCCACAAAAACCCACTCGTAGTCACAGAGACAAAACTTTTTCCCTTATGACTCGCTTATGAAATTAAGCAATTTTTGCCGACGCCCCAGCCGCCCAAAATCCTCCACACCACTCACACATGATGAAGCTTTTTTGGTATGGACCAAAACAGATTTACCATCAGAAACAAGAACAAGAAGTCCAACAAATTTTATGCACTTTTTTATGAGTTTGGCAAAGTGTTTGTAATTAAATTAATAAATTGTTGGGGGAGGAACTTGTTCCGAATGTGTTTGTGTTTTTCCTTTATTTTTATGCTAGGAAATTAAATTTTAATGAGGCCACTTAGTGTGTGTTTGGCTTTGGCTTGTTCTGTTTTTGAATGATAACTTTTGGCTTATAATTGTTGTGGGTTTTTGAAAGATTAACTAAATGAAAGTTATGCAGTGTTTAGGGGAAAGCTAATGAATTAAATATGTAATATTTGTAACGGCAGTAAAGATCATACCATGTATAAGGGTTTCGGAATGTGGTTGTCCAATTTACTTAAAATTATGTAAAAGGAATTCTGTAAACAATAATAAGCCTTGACAGCCATGCCCTGTCCCCTAAGTAAATCATCAGGCCATGCAAAATGGTCCCTGTCCTCAGGCGATTTCTCTTAAGCTTCGCTTAATACTTGACAGCTTTTAACTTCCATATTGCCATGGTAATTGAGGGGAGGACACTGAGTAGGCAAAAAGGTTGCCGGGATGGAAAGCTAAGTAGACCTGTGGCCTTGTTTATTTATATTTAAAAGTCCTGTAGGAAGAACTCAATTTAAAGGTAACTATTGAAATAATTCAAATGTAAAGAAACAGATATAAATAAAATAACTAAAAATTAAAAGGTCCCTCCTTTTATTAGGCGCCTACCCACTGCGATCAACTTTATCAATACCTTTATCTTGATTAAGTTCTTCTTAATTTTTGTATCCACAATTTATTTACAAGAAAGGAAGCAAACTTCATCAAGCCAAAGTTTATGTATCCTAGCAGCTATTGCAAAAATTAAAAATTAAAAAAAAAAAAAAAAAATTTACGTAAATATTACTTTTAAGAAAACTTTTATCTTCTGTAAAATTAAAAAACTATTTTAGTGTACGCAATAGGAATTAGATTGGGCTCCTTTGCAAGCGAATTCCTATTCGCCTTAATTGCCCTATTAAATTCACACAAATGTGAAATTGGCAAGAGTTTTTCAATATGCGCATCAAAAAATGTCCACTTTTGATCAAAATTCCTATCACACATATAATTTCCATATTTCCATATCATCATCATTATCATCATATTTTTGCAATTTTGTTTGCACAATTTGTAAAGTTGCAACAGCAAACGACAAACCAAATTCCAGCAAACAAAACGAAACAGAGCTGAACAGAAAATAATATTTCGAAAAAAAATGGAAATAAATAAAGAGGCAATAAGCCTTGCCCTGGCTGACGACAAAAAGTTCAGAAACAGCTGACATCCTGGAGTTTACTATCCTTCTCCGGCCCTGTATCTTGCCATTGATCTGCATTGAATGCAACACAACCAAACTTTACAGTGAAAACTAAATGTATAATGCTGCTTTAGATTTACTCATTGTTAAAATTAAATTCATTCTAAAAGCAAAAATAATGTATTATTATATAGATTTCTAATTTTACTTATTTTTATTTTATTGGTTAAACTATGGGACCTCTATTCTCGGTTAAAACAAATCGATTTAGTTATTGCAAGAATATTTCCTACAATATAGATATATCTTATGTTCGGAGTTATATGGCATAAAAATTCTACAAAATCATATATGTATATATTATATTAAATACCACTTTTTGATTAAATATTGAATGAACAGTCTCAAACTTAATCTTATGAAAGGAAACTTTAAGAAAACTTTTATAAGGATTGACTTATTTTGAAAAGCACAATGCTTATATTATCGAACCTATTCCGACCGAAACCTATCTATAGGATTATTTAGATGATTGTGAATTAATTAAACTATTATTGTTAATATCAGTTTAAGTTATAAGGCTCAATTTAAAGAAAAGACAATTGTTTTATAATATAATTGGTGTTAAACAAAATTCTTACTATATACTATTAACATACAATTTGTTTGTAATTTCTCTTTCTATGTCTAATTTGTTGTCTATTTAATAAACATAACATAATTTATAAGAACAGAAAATATATATATCCTGCAGTTTCCAGCTCAAGCCAAGCTTCACTGTAGTTGCACGCGTTGACTCTCTATATACTGCCCCATTACGTATGCAAGTTTTCAGCAGTTGGCAGTCCTGGCCCTGGCCCTTCTCTCCGCAGCTCCCTACTCTCCGTGGATGTAGTGGGTTAATGTATTTTTAAGCTAAATTCTTTGTTTATATTTGCCTTGCTGTTTTCGGTTGTGTTTGTCTGTTGTGCGTTGCGTTGCAGTGGCAACAACTGCAGTCCTTTATCAATCGCACCAAAGTTCCCCCTCAACATCTTTTTGCGAGTTGTCCCAAAGTGAACTCTGGTGGATTCATTTATTCGCTTATAAGTTTGTTAGGGATTTTTTCAGAGATTCAGAGAGTGTCTCTGTGTGCGGTACTTCGGGACTTTGAGGGTCCTGGAGTTAGTCTCGATGTTTGTTTACTTTTTGTTGGCATGAAATGTGCATTAGCAGAGTTAACTGTTAATTGTTTACCCATTTGGAGTGCCTGACAAGTGACATTTGAGTGTGTGGTATGGATTGAAGTTGTGGTTAACGTTAAATAGGTACTCAGTTATTTGAGAGTATTTTTGAATTACTTTCACTTAGATAAATCATAGAACTCAATTGAATTTTATGACTATACGGTCATGAAATTGTTTTATCGTTTTCATTTCTCATTTCATTTCTACATTTTCTAATAGGCTTAGATATAGAAATATAAAACACACCGATAACATTATATTTGAAATACATAAACATATATTTTATAACTTTAAATAGATGGCTAGCTCAAACATGGTTTTTTTTATTAGGATATGATCGGTAAGTTGTTTTTCAAATACATTTTTAAATATCATAATTTCTTAAAATATCTTTGAAATTAAAAATGTATTTTCATTAACATGTTTTAGACTGACATTCATGTAGGATTGTTATTACCAACATAAAACGACATTTTTTGGCCTTGAGAAATTTTAATAGGTTTTAATATAATAAGCAAATACAATTTGAAAGATAATATGGAAATTATTGTTGGTTTTAAATTTATATATTTCTTACTTATTTAAAAGCCACCCCTAATTAAACGATATAAAATCGCCTTTATTTGAAAATCCAAAATTTACTTAATCTGTTGCATTACAAATGAAAATAATTCACTTTCAAATGAGTTAAATTAAAAATGGTTTTTATTAAAGGTACAGGATATAAAAAACCTCTTGTTTGAAACTTTTCTTTTTGCGCTTGACTTTCCTCAACCTGTGGGAATCTGTTTCCTAGTTTATTGTGTTTAAAAATCTTGTGAAATAAAATATGTTATTTTTTTTCATTGTTGTGGATTTAGTTGTTGTTCTCCAAATTTATTTCAAAATCCTGTTATACAAATATTTAATCTTGATCCTCAAAAATCGTCTTCTAGTTTCAACCTAGCAAATATTCAGTATGTAAAACTTTTTGATATACATTTAATGGTTCTTAAAACATACACCATACAAACTTTGCAACTACTTTATTTATGTGCATGGTATCAACAAAAAAATGCCGTTACTAAATTATCAGTAAAGAGTTTGAATAATCTTTCACCACAGTCAAGTAATAAACACACTATCACATAAAGTTATGTGCTATTTCTTTACAATCGATCACATGGCGAAGAGCGCGCTTCACTTAAGTACGACTTTCAGTCAGCCGGGATCTTCACTCACGATTTCTTTTGAGTAACTGTGACAAAACGCGTCCGCTTCGTGCAGAACCCGTAGCGAAACTGATTTGCCGAGGACACTTAATGCTCGCACAGAGCCCGGCTCTGGATTTCCACCAACAACAAGAAAAGAAAATCCAACGAATGAAAATTGCTGTTACGTATACGCCGCGTTAGACGAGTGATAACAGGCCGGGACGAGCCGACGTCCGACAGAACGAAGCCGAAGTGGAGGTTCGGTGTAAGCCAACCAAAGGCCGCAGGATGCTGTCCATTGGTAGTTGTTGCTGCCTTTGCCCCGGTATCCTTGTTGTGTTCGGCGGCTTGTAGTTTGCGTGCAACTGCAACCACAACAACAGACCGCAAAACACGCGACAAAAATGTTAACAGAATCCACCCTAACTCCCAACTCATACCCCCGAAAACCGCCCCATGATGTTCGAGTTGCAAGCCAATTTCGCTGTCGAACATTTTGGGCCTGATGGGCGAACCGACCGTTGGGTTGCTTTTTAATAATAATCGAATCAAGCCAAATTAAAAGCAAATTCAAATCCCATATTTGTTTCTCGCAGCACATGAAGTTGTTTGTTTTGGGGCATATTGCATTTCGGAGGCAAGCTTTTAATTAGAAGAGTTAATTAAATTTATTTGCATTTTATTTCAAGTCTTCATGTATATTTTGGCCCAAAAAAAAATCATTTAATTTGATATATTTAATTTGCAAGCTATGCCAGTTTGCTTTTCGCTGATGCAGGCTCAACTAATTGAGGGTGATAATTGTGTTTAATGACTGAATGAGTTTGCAGCAAAATTGGTCAATTGGTAGGAAAAGGGAGCAGAATAGAGAAGATATCTTCTGGGTTTCCAATGCTTTGTTTTTGTGTTTGTTTATTTCTATACGAGGTGGTCTAGTTTTATTTTTGGTTTTTGTTTTAAGCATTTTTTTTATTTAACAGAGAGCAAATTTAAAACAAAAAAATGGCTCAAAATGAAAACGAAAACAACAGTGAACGGCAACAACGCTTTATAAAGTTTTTCCATAGACACAGAAAGACAGTGAATATAAAGACGGATATGTGATAGATTTCCCCAGTTGGCCATCTGAACCAACTTAATGAACTCTTTCAAATCACAGACATCGCTCAATGCCAAAAATATTAAAACTGACAAGGCTAGACGGTAGACAAGATGACTGCCCTCTGATCCTCTCCTGGGTTTCCCCTGCACGGAACCCAAGGAAAAACGTGCATCGTCGCTTGGTAAGTTCATTGTGAGAGGATTCCCAGAGGTGCGGGGCCTGGAGTGGGCGTGGTCGACTGTTGCGCCAGCATGTGACCAACACAGGATGAGATTGGGGTGGACAGGAGGCGGAGGCGGAAAGGCCACAAAGGTCGTTGCAACACATTCGCTTCGTTGGGTCAAAAGTCAAGCGTTGGGCGGGGGATCCCCTTGGATGCCAGCCATTACAGCACTTTGTTGGCTGCTTTGTAAAGTTTTTCGCCACCATGGCAAAACTTTTTTTTTCTCTCCCCCAGTCTTTTTGTATTTTTCACGCCTTGTCCGAAAGTTTCCTGTTTTTTTCCCCCCTACTTGTTTAGCTATTTTTTCCCGCTGCTGCCTTAACAATGAAATTTTTGACTGCTGATTGTTTGCTGTTCAATGTTATTCTTCCAGTTCAATGCGAGTTAAAGTAGACAGAGCCATACAAAATACACGAAAAAAACAAGAATAGGTCGGAAATGCTGGACCTGTTTCTCTGGTACTTAGCAAAAGTCTGCAGCAAATTGAAAATGGAAAGTTTGGTTCCTGTCTTCCTGTGTAGATATATTCAGAATTCCTTTTGCAGTTTGTCTGCGACTTTAGTTAAGTATGGCTGGCAGTCTAGTCTTTGTGCTAAGGAGTGTCCAAATGAGGTAAAATAGTTTGGGGAATACTATCGGAAAAGTTTCTCCTTCTTAGCCATCTTGGTGAAGATTTATACTTGGGATATTCAAGTTTCGAAAAGAAAACAATACATGTGGAGAACTCCGAGCGAGTAATAAAATAAGATTTAAGAAGAGAATCGAAAGTTTAATGGGCATAGATTTGTAGACCCTTTTATGGGCCACCAACGTAATAACATCACGTATTGTGAAGGATGAACAAACCGCAGGCTGACGTCGCATTTCCATTTCCATTTACCCTCCCATTCAAGGCAAAAATGGTATGAAATCAGAGCTGGCTCCCCCTGAGCATGCATTCATTTTTCCAGCAATTTTCACACCCAAGCTGGCATGCACTTTGGCTGCATCCCCTCCACGGCACCTCCTCCAGAAACCCGTGTTATCTGACAGCTGCACTTACGCAATGTTACGCATAAGTGCCCTTTAGCACCTAGCAAGTAAAACATTTTTTATTTCACGTTTTCTGGCAGTCGATGAGGGCTTATTATACGAGAAATATTTGTGTTTTCCCTCCACTTAAAACGAAGCACAGATATGTTACAGGATTTTCGTTGTTCCTTAGTAAATTTGTATAAATTTTACTTGATACCTTTTTCTAAGAAACATACTTAAAGTTAAGAAATCGCATACCTAAATAACTATACAGTTTTCTCTAACTAAAAATGCTTATTTATAAATAAATTCTATGGAGGGAATTTAAAAATGTGAATGTGTTTTAATCCGAATTTAGGGCCTGATTAAACTTAAACTTAAATCACTTTTTATTAACAATTGTATTAAACTGTATTTTTTGACCTTTTTTCTGTAGTTAAAATATTTTTAGTTGTGGGTGTTAAAATGTTTTTAAAAAGTTATAAAATGCCAAGTGTTTCATGAACACGTTTCGAAATCAAGCGAACACAGGAAACATAATGTTTTACAATTTAAACGAAAAAAAGCAATGTGTGAATAATGGAAAAGGACGTGCGGTTAACGGGATTCCATCGAGCCATTACATAACAAAATGGCGAGAAATTTGTTCCGTCATTGCTACTAAATTAAAATAAACATTTCCATCGGCTGTCAATTGGTCGACGCTGGGGGTTTCATCGCCCAGAACCTGTCTGCACTTTATTAGCAATCATGAGTAAGCGCGACTGATGAAACTTTTTACCACTGACAAATTGACTTGCCACATGGCCTAAAAGCGAGCTGCCACAAAGTGCGGCTAATAACTCAATAAAGGAAGTCATGCGCTAAACCATCCGCCACCGCATTCTGGGGATTTCCTTTGTGGCAAGGCAAGTTTAAGCCGATTTCCGGCTGTTTGTCACACAATTACAATTTGTCAGTGGGGCTTAGGTCGCCGGGATTGCGTTTATCCTTCGCCTGATTGGCTGCAAAAGGTATCCATGCCAGAGCCTAATTAGGGATAATCGCGGGGAAAATAAATGCAAATAATATAAAAAATAATAAATATTTTACAATAAAGATTTAATAAGTGTACAGAGAAAAAATATAAGAGCACGAAAATCTTTATTTCTTAAGTTTGCTCATTTATATATTTTTATGTATTTTCTTAAATTAAAAAAATAAAAGCAATTTATTAACATACAATTGTAAGTACTAAGACTTATGGATTATCTGATGAAAAGTGGACTTTGAAAGTTCTGAAGGATAAGGAATGGTTTTAAGGCACATCTTCAAATTAGTAGAACTTTCATTTTACCCCGCGTTTCAAAGTCAGTTGTAGAACATCGATAACCACTACAAATTGCCTTTATATGGTGAGGCAGTAACGCCTACAGCCTAATGACCGCACGTAGAACATCTTGTCCTGCGGTCACCATAAATAACACAAAAGCGCATTTGTCATACGACCTCGCTCCACCTTGATTCCCGAATCCGGAATTCCGACTCTCACTCCCCAGCCATTCACCTTTTGGCAAACTGCAGTCCTTGGCCTTTGTCCTGGACGTGTTGGGCTGTAAATCAGCTCATTAGTTAGTTGGCAGCACCTCGAGCTTGGCTAAGACCCGTCTATGAGTAACACGTAGCTGCTGCTACACTGAAACAAATTAACAGCGAACGAAATGTTGATCATGCTTTTATTCTCTTGAAAAAGTGATTTATTATGAAGCAATGAGAGTGCTAAAGAAATTTTAAAACTTTAAAAATCACAAAACCAATGTGATATTTGGCGCGCAATTAGTTCATTGAAGTCAAAACATTTAAAACGATTAGTTTAAGAAAACATCTTAATTTTAAACAAATTGATTCCTTTAAATTGGTTTTGCAATTATGTAATTATTGCCATACAAAAATAAGTTACAATTTTGTTATATATATTGTACAACATGTGTTATACATTCAACACTTTGCATAATCAAGTCACTGTAATTTCTCCGTAAACATTTTTTTTAGTGAACTTGCTTGTGGCTGGTGCGGTCGCTCGTTAAGCTTCATTTAATCAAAACAAAAGTTGGTCTGGTGAAAAATTACCCCATACAGTAGAGGTAAGCGGCAGGCTAGAATGCCTCTTTGAATGCTAATAAATCTCGTTCGGTGCGTGGTTGTGGGATGCCTATCAACGCTTAAACCCGACCTTTGGCAGCGGGAAATATAATTTAAGCAGCCAAACATCTGCGAAAGTTGTTTGGCCGAAACTTTGGCAAGCGTTTCGAATCAGAGTCGAAGGGATTTTCTTTTTAGTTGATGATAGCCAGGAGTTAAGCCAATGAAGGATTGCATTGATAGGGACAGGGGATGAGTGTGTGGGAGTTAATGAAGCACGGCACAAGAGGGTTCAGAGGTCGAGAGAGAAATATGGCAAGTCAGCTGTCGATTAAGTTTAGTGCCTGATGATGATTGTTCCAGGGGGGGTTTGGGACCCCTTGATGATTGCCCGCGTCCAGTTTCAAGTGGGTGTGCTGTTATTGTTCGAAACTAATCTTTAAAGATCATTAGCTTTGTTCGGCTAAACTTTTCATAACAATAATAATTTGCCAAATGCCCCAGAGGAATGGAGGGGGAAAAAGGGTAGGGAGTAGCCCACATTAATATATATAAAGAGTCCGTGAGAGATGGCCGGCTATAATGACGTCAAAGTTGTCGGGGAGTTTCTCATATTGTTGCCTTTAAACATTAACCTTACCTTTTTGTACCGTTCCCCGTTCACTATTATAATGATAATGAGCATAATGGTTGGCGGGTTGAGGCGAGAACCTCGCTGATGACTCCGAGCTACTCCAAGTCCGCTAATCTTAATTACTTTTGTTTAATTACTTTGACGTTCTGCCCGCGACCATGACAAGCGAACTTCCTCGTTTTTCTCCCAGCCTCCTTTCCGGTATTGTTTCCACTTTGAAACGCCCTGGGATATGCAACGGCTCTTCGGCTCTTCGGCTGCTTCCTGTAAAATAAATAATGTTTACTTATTATTTTTGGCTGGAAAAGAATGAAGGTAAGGGCAAAAAAAAAAATTAACAAGTGCAAAACTTTGCGCAGTTAACAAAAAGAACCCGCGATGTACCTTTTGCCATCGTGCCACAAGACAAATAAGGGCCACATGCTTTTAGGCCTTTTCACAACCTGATTGTTCGTACCTGACCTAAGGCACTCGGTTAAAAATTCCAAGAAAAAACTTACGTATTTTGTAAACTAATTTAGAGATTAAAATCTTGACCCAACCGTGGGGAAGCCGGAGGGCTTGGCCTTCTTCTTCTGCGCCACCGCATCCAAGCCAATTAGCATAATAATGTTGATTTTTATTGCTGCACCGAAAAGTTTTGTCATTGACTTTGGCCAATGTTTGTTCGAAGTAAACCTCTGCTTGTTCCTAGGGCTATGATAATTTAAAGTGCTTGACTTCTGCGGGAATTTGTCACGCTTAAATGTCAAAGCTGGTGAGGCCTTATATTGGCCATGAAATTGTTTGATAGCACATTAAGTGACTGTTTGTTTGTGGGCTGGCCACAAAGTGTGCACTAAAACCTGTTTTTTTGGACCACAAATTATTTATGAGGCCAGTCAAAATCACACAAACTGAAACCAGAAAGACGTCAGAGAAGTGCCCAATATAAATTCCAAAGAGGCAAACGAGCAAGTCCAAGCAGTGGAGAAATGTGACTTTTTTAATTATTTACTTATAGTTTTGGGATACCCTTTATTCTTGTAGTGTTTTGAATATACCTTTTAAAGTAAAATTTGTAGCTTTTATTTTAAAAGTTTTAAACGTAAATTTAAATTAAATTTGCAAAAGTAAGCCCAATGCATATTTTCTGCGACAAGAACTGATATTAATTGGCAAACGAGTAGAGTATATTATTTTGCGAGTTATTCATTTTAAATATCCTTCAATCTAAAAATATTTTTTAGTGGAATTTTCAAAAGAAGGGTGAGACTAACTTTCTTACTTTCTTTAAACAACATTTGTACAGAATAGTCTTATTTTTCTGCTAATTACTCCGTTAATTTACTTTAAAATAAATATTCGAGAGCCCAGAATTTGCACTTGGCCATGTTGTAATAAAATTTTCAAAGACAAGAATCCTTTCGACTGCTGTTCAGGTTCCAACACGGTGACATTCACAAAATTGTCAGCATTATGTCCATTTTTTCATAACATATAACTGAAGTCATGTAAAATTCTCACGAGCAGATTTATACAAAACCCATTAGATAAGTAACTTTGCAATAAAGTAAAAAACTAAAAGTGAAATAATGTTAAAATTATTAATTGAGTGTCAGAAGCGCGATGCCCAGAGTTAGTAGAGCATTATTTCACCTACGCCACTTCAGAATGTGTTTTATAAGCCATGGCCCTCAAATGTATGCCATAAATGTTAAGGCCAAGCTGAGCCGGGATCTCAGAACGAAAGCTTATGGCGTGTTTAAAAGCCAAGAGAGCTTGAATCTGCCAGTAGCAGCTGAAAATGTGAAAATGTTTTTGTGCAACTCCTTAATGTTGGGAGGGGCAGCAGGAAGGCCAGCAGTTGAGCCAGTATCCCTTTGACTTATCAGTCCAGCAGTCTGACACCCAATTGATAGGTTTATCAGTTGGAAAAACTCCAAGTAAGCTGTTCAACAGATTAGAAAGTCGATAAAGAGTAACGAAATTTTCCGAGTAACTAAATAAATTATTTTTTCCTTAGCGGAAATTGCAAGCATCAAGATGGTGAGCCAGACAACGATTGCGGTCACTGGTCTGCTGCAAGTGCTGGGCATATCCTTTTTCGTGTCCCAGCCGAAGGATCAGTCCTCGCCGGCTCCCCTCATCGGCGGCCACATCTTTCTGCTGGCCATCCTCTTGCTGTTTTGGGACTCAGACATGATACCCAAGAGATTCAGGCAATTTTCACCCAGGATTTTCGCCTGTGCCGATCTGTTATGCACTATCTTCGTCACCGAACTGTTGATGCAGGTGGGCTGGTGTGGATTCGAAAGGATTACCCATCAGACTGTGCGGCTTGTCTGCCACAGGCGATTGTGGTGCGAGTACGGATTGACTACATTTTGCACGGTTTTCGGGGCCATTGCATCGCTGTGCATTGTGCTCGAGGTCGTGTGTCCCATCCAGCTGAAAGATTCGGTGGCTGAGGTCCTGGGCAGCCTACCCATTCCCATGCCCGCCAGTGCCGGACCCGTTTTAAACTACCTTCAGGATGTGCGCACCTATGTGATGGGCGCCATCTACTTTTGCCAACTAACTCGGGAGCAACGTTTGCTATCGGTTCGCGCCTTTGAAATGCAACTGCTGCGTTCCCAGATGATGCGGAAGAAGGAGGAGCCCGCTGTCCCCAATCCCGAAAGTCAAGTGGACGAGGAAATGCCGGACAACCAGGATCAAGCGACAGAGCCGGAGCTGTTGTCCTCGTGAATTGTTTATTATTTATACAAATTTATGCCAACAGCTGTTGCTATCGCCGGCCTTATTGTTGTAGTCGACGTCCTTTCTTTTTTTCGGTGGGCGGATGAATGCCTTTCATTTTTCGATTTTCCGATTTTCCGGCATTCGGTCCTCCCTTTGTTTGCTTTTCATTTTTTGCTCCAACTGTTTTCCTTGCGGTGGCCATTTTAATTTTCGCCTTTTTTCCTTCCCTCGTCGTCGACGTCGACGTTGTTGCCATGTTAGCCGCAATTGATTTGCCGTAAATTGTATTTTTAATCTGTCCGACAAACGTTCGACATTCGATTTCGTTTCGAAATAAGTTGAAAGCGATTCTGTTTGTTTTTTTACTCCCTGCACAGCGCCGAGGGGCGGTGGGATCCAGGAGCGGGAATAGGGTGTTAATGAGTGTGTCAAGGGTGTTATTTATTTGCCAGGTAGTTGACAGCGAGTTGCAAGGTAGCGTGGAACATGTTCCAAATTTAGCCAAGAATAAATCACTCCCATTTTCTAAGTATTTTTAAATTCAATCAACTCATTCTACGGCAGTGGCACTTTAAGCAACTGTTCCTTTATGTTACACATAAATAAATGTTTTGTTTACATTTTTAATTTACAAACTGTTGCATTTTCAGAGAAATTTCATTTCCTGAACTTCACAGCTAACACAAATATTTCTAGATTTTTAGTTAGAATCGCAAACTTTATAAAGTAAAGTAAAAACATTTTTTTGTTGGCCAATATCAAAAGGGTATGAGTTTTCTTTCTGTAAACATTTCTATTAAGAACCTTTGAATTTAGAGAGAAATTGTAATTGCAGAACATCACAGCTAACACAAATATTTACACCAATTTAGATGCAATCGATTAAATTGCAAATTCAACTTTGGCTTGTTTTGCTCATCAAAGAGCGGGCGAATAAAAATAAAGTGCCAGAAAAACAAGAGCCGAACATTATTTTTGGCAATTGCTTTGGAAATACTAATATGATTGACAGTTGCCGGAATCGCATTAATGTCACTCACACGCCACATTCTCAGCCACCCCGATCCATTCGCAATGTTGTCCCAGTGTTGAGTAATTGAATTTGTTCTTGTGTTGATTCGATGTTGATGGGGCTGGAGCTGAATGGGCTTGGAATAGGAGAACAAGGGAGAAGTATATTAAATATTTCACATTCTACGTGTCTGGGGATCACTGGGAAGTCAGTTCTTCCGGTTGCGCTGTCTGTGAGTTATTTGTCTCAAGGTATCTACGCCAATGCTTGTGTTTCGTTGGGAAAATTGAAAAAGTGCAAAGGGTTGTTTTTTATCGCTTTCTATTACACTAGAAATTAAACTATTGTCACATGAACTGAAACTATTGGGTCCATGAATTTTAAACTATTGGGTATGAACCATTTCTTAGTAAGATATGTACCAAATTAATACCACTAAAGTATCAAAGTAAAACTTATGTGGTTTCAAATCAAGGCCTAAGACTACAGTTGTATAACCTTCAGTATAGATCGGTATAAATCTAAATTATCTTTAAGAAAATACACAAACAAAATAAAAATAACTTTTTTTTTAGAAAAAAGAGTTTCTAAAACTACCCTAAGCCCTGGGTGAGGGCTGATACATATTTTTATATCTCTTATTTTATTTTATATTATATTAATTTTTTTCATGCGCCCACCCTCTTAAACCCGCTCTCTGGAAAGGAAAGGAAATACGATAAATTATAATGATATGTTAAAGGGAAAAACAAACTTACTTCTTTTCCATGCCAAGATGACTCAACCTATTTTTGCCCCGAGGACCTTTGTATTCGTAAACGAATAAGCCGGTTGCGCATTACTGGCATCAACTTTGCATAAAACCCGTATAAGAATTCAAAGAGAAAAGTATGCACTGAAGAAACAAGTTTCTTAAATGAGAATTTTTATAACTAATTAAAATTAGAAATTGTCTAAACATTCCTTATTTTTTTAACACTTTCTAGCTGGACTTGTTTACCCCCCAACACCACTTTAAGCTCAAATCAGGGTTGTATATAGCTTAGTAGATTATCTTCACGCACTCCCAGATAATTCCCCCAAACATCCTGCTCCTCGCCCCCTTCTTGCATTATCCGAACTTAAATGCCAACTGTCGTTAGTAGCTCACTGCTCCAGGATGGGTGATAAGAAGGGTGTTTCGGGAAATTCGAGTATTCTGTCAGCGGACGGAGAAGAAATATGTGAGCTTCTTGGGGCGGGCGGCATACATATGTTAGCACATTTTTAAATGTATTTGTGTCAGGCTGAAGTCGTGACTGCAGTAAATTCCTGACTACCCAAAAATTCATAGAAAACTGGAGAATGGCAAACTTGGTAGAAATGAGCATTTCAACATTTTCAACTTAAGCTGGGGACCGAAAATAAAAAGAAGAACATGAGACAAGGCAACTGGCAATGCATGTCTGCAATTTTTTAAGCAAACATTTTATTTGCTCAAATGCTAGGAAAACACAAAAACAACGCCGTGGAAGATGGGGTGAGAATGGAACTTGAGACACACAACCCACATCAAAAGAGCAACTTCTGCATTTTTCCTCAGTTCTCGACGCCAATGTTGTTGCTCCTGTTCCCTTAGTTGTTGTTGACTTGCGCTCCTGTTGACATTTTGATACAAATCTTCAATAAAATAAAAGCAGCTCAAGTGGCCATAGCGTAAACAACAAAGGAAGTGGCACGGGGAAAGCTAAGGAAAACAATATGGGTGAGGTGATTGAGGGGTAGAAGCATAAAATAACCTAAGTGGCTGTGTACTACGAAAACTGGTGTAAACATAGACTTCGTTAAGGTACGTAGTTATATATCTTAAATAAGAGGTAACAGTTTTTCAATGTTGCGGCTTAACAGCAGTATACTTTTGTTTTTAAGTGTCAGAATAACACTTTTTTCTACTGACTTTTTCAGATCTCAAAAAGTATAATACCTCCAGGGAAAAAGTTATCAGTAGGATACAAATGTGATTGCCGATGCTGAGGCCTATTTGGAGGGTAAAATCATTTCTTGACCATCATTTATTGTATTTTTTCTTTGGTAGCCTGAGTACTGCTGCCCAAAGGCCAAAACAATAATTTGACATACAAATTATAATGTCTTCTTTCTTATATAAAGTTTTTTGTTTTGGGAGGAATTTTGGTAGTAAATTTGTAGATCATCTGGGGAAGTTATTTGGAAGAGACTGCACTTGCCTCGGTGAAAATTCTGTTTTTTCGGCAAGGGTATTTAAATAATTGATTTTCAATAAATAAAATGAAATATTTATAAAAACAATTCTTTTTAAAGCAAATGATACAAATTTTAAAGAATTCAACTAAGTAATTGTGTACCAAGCAGTAAGTTGTGTAAATTTAAAGTGTTGTTAAGGACATGCCACCTTTAGGGATAATTTTTAATTGTATATTCAAGAAGAGATTTTGAATTTCCAACAACAAACCTATGTGTCATGTTCAGATTGAAGTGTAATCTCAAATGGACCTGAAAGCCGCCACGATTAATTGGCCGCGACAAACCCTTTCGGCGCCCTAAAATCCCACCCTTCAATCCGCACTGTCATCCTGTCCGAAAGTTCTCCCTGTCATCTGTCCTTTGTGTCCGTGAAATCTCTTTTCTTTTTGTACGGAACGGCTTGATGTTGTCGTCCACCCCCCCCTTTAGTCTGGACTGGGTTTTTGTTTTTGCTTGTGGTCAAGCATATGGCACACAACACAGAGCAACATGCTGTTCTGTCCCCACAAACACACTGATACACAGATACACACTCACACACACACACTCAACGGACAATCACGTAACAACAATAGCAACAACAACAGCGGAGCCGAACAAAAAGTTGTTAGCCAATTTACTAAATGTCCAGTGTGTGTTGAATTGTTGAAGCTCGTTTGCCGCTTTGTGTACTTTTTCGTGTTTCGTATTGAATAACAAATTATTTGCGGCATATGTTTAGGGGCTCGGTAAAGGACCAAGAGCACAGGAGCTGAGTGGGCGTTAAACGACTTGTTAGCCAGTCAGTCATGGATAGTCTGTGGAGGTCTGACAACTTGTTTGCCCGCCTTAGATGGACATGGAAAAGAGTAAATAAGTTGAAAACTGGAATTAGTCCGTTCGGCTGTGTTGTGTTGTGTTGTGGGATAGTTTAATGTTCACCATGAGCTTGTTGGGCGTAAGCGTATCGAACGAAGTTAAAGATCACAAGTAGTCGACTTTTCCGGCTCTTTGGCTCAACACTATCGTGCAACCCATACCCCCTAAGTCTAGCCCCTTGATACGTGAGTAATTTCGCAATGAATATGAAGCCACAGAACGAAAACAGCACTTGAGTGCTGGCAAAAATAGAAACGTATTACTTTTAATACAATTTGTAGGCTCTCTGAATCTCTCTCTCTCTCTCTGACCCGGCTCTTCATTAGGACTTTTATTTCTTTTTGGATATTTTATAGCTTGCCAAAAACGAAGAATTTATTGCCGCAAGTTCAAAACGTTTCGATGGCTGGCATTTTTTCTGAATCGACCTCGACACGCTTGCTGCATTTTCAATTGCATTTCCAATAAATTGTTTCCAGCCTCGAGTAGTTTCGCTTCCTCGCATTTTCGACTTTGCCAAATTGGCGAAAATAAAAAGGATCGAATGATTCGCGTAGCATTTCATTTACCCATGTCTCTAGTCAACTGCACAAGAGAAATGCGTTTAAGGTTATGGGTGGACTTCTTCTTCCGAACGCAAAGTGGGCGGGGTCGGATGTAATTAGGCGCTGTTAATTAGGTCGTAATTGGAGTTTTTGAGAAAGGTTAAAAGAGAAGGGTGACTTTCCCAAAGACATTACTTTGGTGTAATAAAGGGGTGATATAAATAATTGCGCCAAGTCGTGCTATGTGGGCAATGAAAACTAAGCTGTTAAGTGGAAGGGCGGTGTTGGTTTCAAAATTGGGTTAAAACCCTTAGCAACTTTTTCATAATTCTCTGTAAATAATTGATTATATATATGGAATATAGATTGCTGCCAATATGAAAGATAGTACCTATATTTGATCAAAGGTAACTATAAATATCGCGATGGCTATTTTGGGTTCTCCATCTACAATTCTACGCTGAAATTTCCTTTTACTAATTGATGAAAAAACAACATTTTCTTAAATACCTTTCGATATTAGTATAAGGCAATATCTGTATGTACAATGTACATTGTACATCTACCATCATTTTATTTTTTTGTTGCTTCACTGATCGTTTTTATTCTTACTCTTGACTGAAAAAAACGTTTTTTGAGCAAAATGTTTATTAACTAAAAAAGAAATATTAAAACATTAAAAACAAGTTTGTTGAATGGTTTGACGAAATCAATACCCTGAAGGAACTATTCAGACTTGTAAGCATGTGAACTAGAAGAAAAGTTAAAATCCGAGGTGTTTTAATTTCTAGAAATTTCTTCAGTTATTACTTCCAACCGTAAACAGCCAATATCCATTACTTACCATTTTTTTAATCATGTAGATAACTGTAGATAATCCGAAACATATACATGTAAAGTACTGATAAATTAACAGTTATTTTATACATGTAATAAGCCTGTGTAAAATAGTTTACTTTGGTGTAGATAAGGTCAGAAATTAGGTAAAGGGTAGCTTTTTTATATTTTCCAAATATTAAGCAGTGAAAACACCAATATTTATTGTTGTTGTTTACCATTTTTTTATTTTGAAAAAATCGCCGTCCATTTAGGGACAATAATGTTTAAAAGTCCGAAGAGGGACTTTCGAAGGATATTAACAGTACGTAACATCAAGTGAGTCCCGCATTTATTTGCGGTTGACTTAAAGAAAATGTACTTAATTTGAATCCAATTTCCTTTCATTTTCTATTCTTCCAATTAAAAATATGTTAAAAAAGAATGTTTCCTAAAAAATAACCTGCAACAATACAAGAAATTGTTGTATATTGTTTTTCTACCGTAGTGACTTTTTATATAATGTCGTTTTTTTTATTTATCTTCTAACTATACCAAAAATAGGCCCAGCTCTGCAAAAAAAACTTGAAAAAGTTGTCTAACAAGGCGGATGATTAATAATATTGACAGATAACATTGAAAAACAATCAAACTTTAAATATTATAAAAGTCTAGCAGCAAATATAAAATAATGATAATATAAAAAATATGTAAGATAAATATATATATTAAAAAATACAACAAATATTTAATATATTCTTATTTCTACTTTTATTGTTTGCACAACTTATTTCATTAAGGATAATCTGACCACCAGTAAAAAGCGTTGAAAAAGAAATTGTTTCTTTATTGAAAATATTTTTGTTGGCCAAAATCAATTTTATTATTTTTCCTCTAGCCTCCAAGTATTGGGAAAATTCTGGATTCCGTCACAACTTCAAGCAGCAACCGTTGAGCTTGTCCATGGCCTAACTAAACTTCAATTGGGCACTGCCTTGTCTTTTATAAGCAGGCCCAGCCAATCGGAGCCAAGATATAGAGTTCCTAAATACCAAATTCAGAGGGTGGGTTATATTGGGGTTGCTGATAACAAAAGCTAATGTTAAATACTGAAAGCTCTTCGGGTAAACTTGAAAGCTAGCATGACAAAGAGCTTTTTGAAGGGGTGAATTTACCAGTATTTGCGGGAAATAAAAGCCAACAGTTATGTAGGGGTAATTGTTTGTGATGTAAAAGTGATGAAAACTAGAGACCATAACATTGCTGTTTGTACTAAGAGGATGTCCTTACAGTTAAAGAGAGAGTGTTAAAGCTAGCAGCGAAAGAGAAAGAGGTTGTTAACAAGTTAACATCTTAAGAGACCTTAACAGGGCACGAACTTATAACAGATTGTGAAATTTTCACAGAAATGTTATATAATATATGTTTAAGTGGACTGCTAAATTTTTGCAGAAATGTTATCCCAAATATGTTAAAAAAAATGTTACAGACATGTTACCTTAAATAAGTTAAAACCGAATGCACATTGCTTATTTTTTTATGTGAAATGTGTAATGTGTCTTTATAAATTCGAAATGATTCGAAAGCCTACAAATTATTCAGGGTTATATTTAATAGTAAATTAAAGTAAGGCCCGAAAAATCTCTGGTCACGGCTTGCAGTAAAATTACCTTGAAATAGTGACATCCGTTTGGTATTCGATACTTTGGCTTTTGTGGTTAAAACAAATTAAGTGGAATTAATTTGACTCTGCCTGACTTTTCACCTGTGCATCCGCACACTCACTAGCACACTATTAAATGTGTGAGTGCCTGTGCATTTATGATTTCGGGAAAAGGCCTCGCAAACGTAAGTCTGGAACAAGCCTTTGTAATGCTCGTTTTGCTGTCTCGCTGTTTCTGACATTTCGAGTGGTTTCCCCCCCTCATCCACGGCTTTCCTTTGCATTAAATATTCATCATGGAAAAAGCACTGGCAAGCGGGGAGGCGAAAAAAAAAAATTGGGAGAGAGCCCAATACGTGCATATATCCATATATCCGTATAGGAGATGTTTATGGTAATTTATACCCCGGTGCGGAGATTGAAATTCATGTAAATAAATTGCACCTGTAAAAATAATTAAAGGTGAAATCGCTTGCTGGCTTGTTCTGGCAATGGCTAAAATATGAACTCCACCTTTCACTTGCCAGTGCATAAATTTACTTGCTCTCGCACACCTATTTTTATCTGGGCAATATATATACGGTGCGGCTACTTGTTATTTGTTATATAGTGGCGACCAAAAAAAAGTCAAATAAAATAAAATAAAATAAAAATAGAAACCTTTGGACCAGACGACGGGGCACTCCAAGTTGTGAGACCTTCGTCCCAAAGTGCGGGAACGTCGCTTCAAGTGGACTTCAGACGGCCAACAGCAACAAGAACAACCTATGCAATAACAAGGACGACCCACGTGCAAAAATTCTCTTGCTATTTTTCAAGGGGCAGGAAGGCGGCAAGCAGGTGCGACGCCAACAAATATTTTTATAATTTCCTTTTCGTGGAAATTTGCATTTTTCTGTTGCGTTGCGTTTTGTTGTGCCTGCCATTTCCGCTCTGCGCTTTGCGCTTTGCCACTTTGCCATTTCCGGTTTTGACGGCTCGACGGGAATTTCTATTTCTTATCCATAATTGCAAAGTTCCCGTTCCTGCGGCTCCTTGGGACCTCAGCTCATCCCAAAGGCTGTCCGCAAACAATTCCTGGTGATTTTCAATGTGAGTGCAAATGAAATTAAGCAATTTCAATTTACCCAAGGTGTTTTCCCCGTCACTGAGTTCACTTAATAACTACGGAATTGCAAGGAAGTTGTCTAGAACTTCTGGGACTCATATGGAACAGCTCCAATGAATAATTACTGTTTGATTTAATATCATGCTTGGCTTCAGAGCACGGCACCAATTTAATACCAGCAAACATTTAACCATTAAGATATTAAAGGCGTTTTATTCAAGCACGTTGCGCAATAACAACTCGTTGACAATTGATTACGCATTACTTCAATTTAATTATAAACATTAATATATCAATTTGTATTTAATTCATTCGTCCTGTAAAACATAAATGTATGTGTCATTGGTTAAATCTTTAATAATTGGCCATTCGTTCTCAGCGAAGAGCCAACAAGGCTAATTAACATTTAAAATTATCAGTTGACATAAATTGTTTGATGGCCGACGAACGGAGGGAGCAACTTTGCACACAAGGCAATATGAAAAGCGCACAAAAGAACAATAAGGAAACCAGTTCCGATTGCTGTTTCCACAGTCAGCGACGAGTAAAAAACAAATATATCAAAACGGGCAAGAGGCATAAATGTAGCGTAATTTAAATAAAATTGCATTAATATGTTTTCCCCATCCAGAAAGGATACCCGAGAGCAGGCTGTGTCCTGGCCAAAAATTTCCAGCCATAAGAAGAGCTTTTCGTGCCTTCCCCGGATCTGCTGGTCATAATTCATCTGGTAGGGGGGCCAACAAAAACAATATCAAAAACAACAACAATAAAAACAAAAACACACACAACTATCGCAAGGACCTCTGTTGCTCGGCAAATTCACACCAAAAATCAAAAAGCAATAATGATGCTCGAAATCTGAACAGCCGGGATGGACGACCGGCAAATGCGGGCGGTGTGAAAAGTGGGCATGGCCATGCCCTGGCCACTATAACTGCATGGGTGTGTGTGTGTGTTTGGGCTACGTGGCAAACTTTTCGAGTATTTGTCGTTATAAATTTGACATCAATTGCCACGGCATGTGGCCAACGAAGGTCTGACAGTCAGGCCGAGGCAAACGGCTGGTCGAAAAGTGGCGGACTGAAGTGGGTATAGACGGGGAGCACTGGTGTGGATGTGAGCCAAATTGCAAAAAAAAACTCAGCTGATCTTAGCCGACCTCCTCTTTGGGGTGTGAGTGCAAATAAAGGCGGGCTGAACGCATTTGACGGCAAAGTATTCAATAGTTTGCATAACACGTGTTAGGCTCTTATTTTTCCCATAAATTCTTGAAGATTTTTAAAGCTTTTGAAACAAAACTGCCCTATGAATGTAAACAGCTTTTTTAATGAAGTCGATTTGGTCGACAGGCAGAAAATGTTGTATTTAATTTAACGAAAACCACATTGAATAAGGTGAGTTTAAGGTCAAAGAGATTTAAAACAAAATTCCTGGCTTTAATAAAGATAGCCCTCCTATCTTATTTTTTCAATCAGCCAATCAGTGTTAAAATTAAAACGTAATTCATATTATTATTTTACAATAAATTCTTTACACATTTTTCTTTTATAGAAAATTAATAAATAAATAACATATTAAACTGAGCATCAAAGGGGCAATGTTGTTTTACAACGAAGGACACATTTTGGCCCACGCCATACCTTTTTAAAACTAATTACATTTTTATTGAAATTTAAAGGGTAGTTATTTACCCTTTGCGCCATATATAATAACCTCTTGTTTTTTCTGGGTAAAATATGTTTTTTTTGTTAGTTGTATAACCATATATATACTAAATGGTTGCAAAGGGAATTATATAAATGAAAATTTCCATAGTCACAAATACCGAAATAAATCGCGGTTTATTTTATCAGACTTTTGGGAACGAATCGTCGAGTGTATGGCACTTAAGAGTAAACTTTTGTATATACATATGGGGGTTGATCTCAATGGAGTTTTTCTGATTTCTCATTTAATGATTAAATAATAAACAAATTTTTGTAGAATTCAGTTTAAGTTGAGGATCGGTCGCGTGTGTATCATAAAATGGATAGGAAAATATTATCCATATTTTTTATTGTTTTGTTCAAACATTCCTTAAATGACTGTACCAAGGGATTGGACGGGATAAAAGAGGATTACTGTGAAACCTATTGTGCTGGAACTTGTGATAACAGGACATGCTCAATATCCAACAGAAATTTAATCACAGATGACTATCAAATAAAGTTGGTTTTATTTAATTTACAATTTATTTGGACAAATCCAGTTTTTCAGCAGTGGAATATTTATCGAGTGTCTGGTGAAACCGATTGCGAACTAGTTAAAATTACAGTGAGTGGAATACCGAGTGTTGACGATGAAAGACTTCAACCTGGCATAAATTATCTTCGTCTGCTGGGCATTAAAAAAGTTGTTGGATACGAAATTTACTTTCCTTCCTTAACAATATTTGAGAAACAAGTAGATGATGTAAATGGAGCACAAAATTTAACTTTTAAATATTTAATTGAAAGTCCTGTCATTTCTAACGTAACAAATAACTATATTCAAAAGAGCATGAACAACACAAAAAAAATTCAAATTCATTATCAAAATACTTTCGAAAAGCCAACGTTTACTTTTGAGAAAACTATTTTTGCTGGCAAAACGCAAATAAACTCACTAGTTGTTACTGGGTTCAATGTGGAAGGTCTGACAGAAGAGACATTCGATTACATACAAAATTTGGAATGGCTAACTTTTGACAATGTTGATTTAGAAAATTTCACATTTTTGAGGTTTGTAATGAAATATAAATTTTGGCCTTAGAATAAATTATTTCTTCGTTTCAGATCTCCTACTCTTCGATCATCTTTAAAATACTGTATTATGAAGCTTGACAATGTTGTGGATCTGAAACACTTTGACCAATTTCCCAAACTTGAAATCATTGAAGTGAACAAGTATAAAAAATTTTCAAATCTGACCGCTTTATTGTGTCACACGGGTGAAAATAAATGTCGGTTTACATCGGGTGTGAATGGCATTTCATGCCCCACCAAATGCAGATGCCAATATAATCGAGACACGTCACAGCTAGAAATAAATTGCTTGCAACTAAATCTTAAAACAATCCCATCGTTACCGGTTCCTGTCACGGGAAAGTCGGTGCTGGCCTTTCAGCAGAACGAATTGTCTCAACTACCTCATAGGTCATTAGCAGGCTATAACAACTTAAAAGGTCTGGACGTCTCACAAAACCGACTAACCAGTCTCAACGTTGAACACCTGCCTGAAGCCTTAGACTACCTGAACATAAGTTTGAATCGAATAAGCACCCTCAACCAAGAAATGGTTGAATATCTCGGTAGCGTAAATACTTTCATTCAGTTTGGTAACAAATGGATTGCCCATTGCGATGAAGCCTACTTAACAGAGTTCTTTTGGTACAAAGCCAAATTGATACGCATAAAAACATCAAAATTTGATGCCGTTATGGAATTTATGGAAGTAAATTCGAAAGCCTCATATCTAGGAGATTTTTTTGTATATCAGTTCGATAATTTATATTTGGAAGCGAATGAAGACGACATATTGAGCACATTTGATTTTTCGGACAATTACTTCACATTGAAGATACTGGAAGAACTGAACAAAGCAATTTGGCTGATATCAGGCGAGTTTGATGAATATGTGCTCCACCATCTGAACGCCAGCTGCCCCTATAGATGCACTTGTTGCCTTGAACGCCCCACTGGGCAATTCGTAATATATTGCAGCAATTTAAATCTTGACTTTTATCCAAGGCTGCCGAATTTGATTGAGTACAACACGACATTATTTCTGGAAGGAAATGAAATAAGAAAGCTTACTAATTCCCAAAATCTTATCGTCATGGGTCTTGCCTCGATACAGAAGTTGCATATGTCGCAGAACTTGTTAACTGAACTTCCGCTTCATTTGCTGCCCGAGAACATAACATATCTAGATCTAAGAAATAATCGCTTGAGAGCACTCGATGATGATGTGGTAGACTTTCTGCGATATCGCGACGAAATCACAAAGATAGAACTATCTGGTAACCCGTGGGAGTGCAACTGCAGGGCGAAGTCCTTTCTCTCTTTGCTGAGGGAACGTGAACCATTGGAGTACGAAACAGTTCTTCGGCGTGTCAATATAACCCAGGATAAATGTCCCGAAGACTGCATTTGTTGCCTCGACACTTCCAACCCCGAACTGCCGGCACTTATCGTCGACTGCAGCGACAAAGGTCTTGGGGAGGTACCAGCACTGCCTACGCCCACAATTGGACACACAACTCTCATCTTTGAAAGGAATGTTCTGAGGGTGTGGCCCTCTAGCTCGCTACCAGGATACTCGAGCATTTCACGATTTTATTTGGCCAGCAACCAACTAACCAATGTCGATAATCTACCAGACAACACTGACTATTTGGACATTAGTTACAATAAATTCTCGGAACTAAGTGATCGTGTTCAGGGCTTCCTTCAGAAGAGAATGAATTCTTCGCAGTTGCAGCTTGTAATCCATGGGAATCCGTGGACTTGCAGTTGCGACAAAAAGGATTTTTTAGAATTCGTGAAGGAGCAAGCGAAAAATATAAGAAACACATCAGCTGTTAAATGCGCTGACACTGGCAAATCCCTGATTGAAATCGAGGAGATCGACATATGTCCCTCAGCCATCATCTACTATGCATCCCTTGGGGTCACTTTATTAATTCTGGCTTTATCTATTAACGTTTTTTTTTGCTTTAAGCAACCCATATTGATCTGGTTCTACGAACACGAAATATGCCTAAGTCTGGCAGCCCGACGGGAACTCGACCAGGACAAGAAGTTCGATGCCTTCCTGTCATTCACCCACAAGGACGAAGAGCTCATTGCCGAATTCGTGGACCGACTGGAGAACGGAAGACACAAGTACCGGCTCTGCTTTTATCTGCGGGACTGGCTGGTGGGCGAGTCCATTCCCGAGTGCATTAGCCAGTCCGTCAAGGACTCAAGGCGAATAATCATCCTGATGACGAAGAACTTCCTGAAGTCCACCTGGGGACGACTTGAGTTCAGGATGGCTCTTCATGCCACCTCAAGGGATCGGTGCAAGCGCCTGATCGTTGTCCTCTATCCGGACGTGGAGAACTTTGATAATTTGGACAGCGAGTTGAAGGCCTACATGGTCCTGAACACATATCTCGAGCGAAATAATTCGAACTTCTGGAACAAGCTGATGTATGCGATGCCACACGTCATGCTGGGACAGCGGCTACAAAGAAATCTTTCCGTGCTTGAAACAAAAATATAAGTTAAATAAAACTTATGTTTTATTCAAACAAGAATTTCAAAACAGTTTAAAATGTATACATTTAAGGAAACAACAAAAAGATGTTTCAGTTGAGTATTGAATTTTTTTTTAATTCACATCTCTAAAACGAGGTGATTGTTCACCGATTTCAGAATCGAGCACAACCACCTAGCTCGAAATGTAGTTTAAGCCCTATTTCTGAAATTGTTTAAAATTACTAGAAAGCTATAATTTGTGCACTTGACTTTTCGACTGTTCCTAAAGCAGCGATATAACATATTTGTATAATCCTTGGTTCAAATAAATACTTCTTTTTAATTTTGCCGCAGTTTGCTAGCTATTATAAACTAAATTTTACGACACTACAAATTCGTTGCATCCCTGAATACGCAAAAAGAACCACCGAAAACGTTCATGAACTATGTCTTCATCCCTGAGCTCTTGCCAAGCTTTCAAAGGAACTCACATCACTATTTTGGCGCCAAAACAAAAACAATTTAAATATTATTTTTAAATAATGATACAATTATATTGTAAGCAAAAATAAATGTTAATATTCATTATTTTATGTGTATTTGCTCCAAATGTTACGCAAAGTTTGAGTTTTAAATTTTTGTTAGAGATAAATAAATAATTAATTAAAAATATTTCAACCTTATTAGCAACCTTTTCTATACGAACCAAAGTTTGATATAATGGTGCTTCTGGTCTAGAAAATTACGCTAACCAAACGTTTTCATGCCCTTTGTATTGTACTTTATTACACAGGAACACAATAACGAAATTCTTGAAATTTCCACGTGCCAATTGTACTGTTCCATAATAATTCGGTGCTTCTGAGTAAATGTCTCTATAAATAAAAAACAAACAAAACAAGCTAAAATAAAATAATTAATGCGTTAATTAAGCGTTCAGCAAAACAAACAAGCACAGTGGCGAGAAGTAGGCTGTAAATTCGGTTGTGATTCAGTATTTTTTATGTATTGGCCAAGTCTTCGGGAAATGTTTTTGAATGTATTTATTTGAACACATGTCATTCCGATAATATGAATATAAAGGTATTAACTTCTACTTTACTGGACGACGGAAAAGTACGTTTTTAGGGCATAATTGTCAAATGAGTGCGAGTTAACCTAATTAAGATAAACCTGCTGAGACAGTTTGACCAGGATTGTCCCTGTCAAATCTTCGAGGTTCTCGTAAAAGCTTACACATTGGCTTTTTTCGAGCTTGTTACACGTTTGGAAAACCGAGTCGACAGTCGAACTGAACTTTTTCTCCGTTTCCGGAGCTCAACCCCCCGAAATTTGTACTTCCCGAGCTTTATTTGAATAGAGCTTTTTAGGCTCGTCCTAGAGTGGTGGCATTCTTAATATGTACTATAAGAGTTGTATAAGTATAATTTAAGTTGATCTAAGTAAAAAGCGGCGTGAGACTGCCAACATGCCCAAAAAAAATTTTTGTTTGGGGTTATTTGCATATTTTGTCGCACATTAGAGGGCAGGAAAATTTCTGAGCAAATTATGCACTGCCACTTTTGTCTAGCTTCTTTTTAAAAATGCTGGATTCGCATTTTCGGATTTGCGAGAATATTCCGTTTTTGGAGAAAGCTGCTTTAGAGGCTGGCAAACTAGCTGGTAAACAATATACTTTTTAATGATGCCCAACTCCATGTAGATAGTGGAAGTCTGACCCACTTGCGATATGGCCACCTTGACTCTTTCTCTTCGACCTCGTCGATTGATGAACAGTCGCACTCCTGCTTCACTTCATCTCGTCCAGATCGTTGTCCCCAGAATCTTTGAAGTGCCGCCTCATTTTCATGATGATGTTATACAACTGGGATGTGCTTTTGATTTGAGTTTGGAAAGGTATAATTTTCGTCCAGCTGACTGTCTATGCAAAGCCTATTTTGTCTGATTTTTTGCAGCTTCATTTAAGAGTCGGACTTCTAGAGAAGAAAGACTTGTTAACACCCCCAATTATTCACTCGGCGCTACCCCTGGGTTTCAATTTCTCACGCTTTGCACAGGACATAAGCAAAAGTGCAAGCGCTTCATCGGCGGGGTTGAGCAGGTGCATGCGAAAGTGTGACAGGGTTTGGGTGGGATGCAGCTCTCAATCGGTTAGAGGTGATGATGGAACCCGATTTGAAATGCACATCACGTTTTTAGCCACTTTTTTTGGCGACAGGCGGCAGACGAAGCGGATGGACGACACTTGTGGTTGGGGAAAATCGCGTGCAGACTAAACCATGACACGTGTGCCTCACCATTCGCATTTGGCGTATAAATCTTCATGCCACCCTTTTAGGAGTGGATTTTTAAAATGCATACTAGTTTTTTGTAACACATTTTCACAATTTTCACTCCCTCACTATGATGTATTATTATTCAATCAGTGATGCAAGCTGCAAAAATGTTACATACAAATAAATTGATTACCAATTGTAAAACGCAAGCGCAATTAAATGGACAACTTATGTTGGTCTTATTGCATCCCTAAATTAGTAGAACATTTTATCATAACTTTAGCATTTTATGGCTCCTGATGATATTCCTCCTTGCCTATATGGTTTTCCTAATTATATTTTCTTGGCACATAATCACAATTGGCACATTTTGTTGTTTACTTTATTTCAAAAGTTGTTAGGCAAAGTTTTCGTTTTACTCCGATTTGCTGTACTTTTTTTTTGGCTCTTGGTTGGGTCAACTTTTCGCATTTGGCAAGCGATTTAGTTCGCAGTTCATATATTGCTGTCGTCGGTTAAAATTTATTGTGACAGTTGTTAAAATTATGCAAACATTTTCGTATTACATTTTATAAGTATTTTAGGTCTCAGCTGGGTCAAACGAGATTTTAAAAAGTACTAAACTAATAATATTCATTATTTTGAAGTGTTTTCAAGAATTTTTAATTCTTGCAATAGTTGTTTTATATTTGTAAAACTTCAAATTAATAATATTAAATAAAACACAATCCTTATAACCATCTTATGTGGCTTTCCACTTGACTGCTTTAATATTTTGCCCCTCTATACAGAGAGAGGAATCCATTACATAATCAGGAGTATAGATCCCTAGAGAGCTACTCACGCTATAGATCATCATTTGCATGCCTTATAAATGTTCTATAAATTTTGCCAAAACACAAAAGGGAGAAAAGGGAAAACACTTTAAGGCATACAAAGGACTCGATTGAAAAATAAAAACCGCAAGAACACAAAGAATAAAAGACGGAAACGGAAAAGAGAAAGAGAAAACAGAGGGGGGCAGTCAGGTCATAGGACAACACTAAAAAGAAGGCAAATTTTATTTGCATGCGGCTTTTCAATTCCTCCAAGAACATAAAACGCAGGTCAGGGGAAACTTCGGGGAACCCTTTCGATGATGGAAAATAAAGTAGAGTTGTAAAACGAGAACAGAGAAACTACACTCAAAAAAAGCGTAGTAAGTCCATGTATTTTATACTCACGTTAAATATTTTTTCCTTTAATTGATATCCATTGTGGTTTATAATTATTCTAAAAATTTAATTTCTAAAATTTTTGTTCAATTACTAATTTTATTATTTTCGTATTAGAATATGTGAATTGTTTAGTCTGTTTAATCTTTTTTTTGTTTGTTTAAAAAAATTCCTTGATTTTAGGAAACTTTTCTTAATTCAAGGAATGGCCATAAAGTTTAGCTTACCATATAAATTTACGAAAACTTGACCTTAAAATATGTCTTAAGTAATTTCCTTCATATGCATAAGAGGCTCTTTTTAGAAAATTATCTAATATCAGCGAAATTTTTTTCTGAGTGTACAAATATTTTAAGATTAAATCATACTTTGTATGTAATATAAAGATTTGAAATTAAATTAAAGTCCACAAATGAAATTTTGAATTCAATAGCCAATCATTTCATCTTTTTGTCAGTGTAGTGAGTAAACGAAAGGGAGGAAGAGTTAAAGCGAGACGGGACGAAGGAGGCGCGGCGTCTTAACAATTTCCTGCCAACTTCTGCTTCATTGCATATTTCCGTTTCCTTCAGTCCGGAGTCCGGACTATTCAGTTCCCCAGCCCCCTGAATCCTTGTGGAATCCACATGTGGAAAAGCGACGACAGTCGCCTGGAAAAATTCCCTATCCTACTCTAGCTCCTTTTTCTTTTACGATTTGCAATTATTTTTGCTCATTTCAGCAGAAGCAAATATGCCCACAATTCCTTGAGGGACAACTGGCAGACAGTCCCGAGTCCTGTCAATACAAATAGTGGCAACTGTTTCGCCGCCCCACTCCTCGTCTATAATAATTTACATAAGTTGATATTTCTCGAGTTGTTTCACTTTGACATCCCTCCATCTAGACATCGATTCCTTCGTGTTCTGTGTGCTCAGTTATTTGTCCGCCTGAGTAAAGTCCTTAGATGGAAATAAAAGGGAGGAGATTTACAACATGGAAATCATTTTAGCTGCAGCGGATTCAGACTTGCATTCAGTCTACTTCCACTTCTCTTAGTGTTTCCAGATGCCATTGCTTCGGGGAGGTACTGACAATTGTCCTCTGAGTCCTCTGCTGAGTGGTTTATTAAGTCCTGTAAGAAGAAACAAAATATGATGGCCTTGAATCAAACTGAAATGGAGAAAACAATAAGTCAATGCGTAAACTTTTTTTGACGAAAAGGAAAGTGAAAACTCAAAGAGGAAATCTGATTATATTTAAAATTCACTTGTGTTTATATCGAGTTGTGTAAATATTGTCTGATATATGTATATCATTGGCAAATTCCTTTTTGAAAATTGGCTCCAAAGCTAAGCCGTTATAAATATATAAAAAATGTTAATTTTAGAAATTCAAATCAATTTTAATTTGTACCTACACTTATAAAAGTCACGGAACCCAACCATTGACTTCCAATTTAATAATTTATTAAATCTGGCTGCCTTCGAGTGCATTATCTCATTACCTTAATTAAGCTCAGACCACTTGATTAAATTTTAAAGTCAAAATGTAAA